GACACCGGGACCCGACTCGCTCCGCGGTCTCCTCCGGCCACAGCCTCCTGGGCGGGACCTCTCGACACGTAAATAAATAAATAAACAACTCGCGTTCTCATTGAGGCCACTGCGCCACGTAACTTCCAAACAATATGAACCATTGCAACATCGTCAGGATTATCATTATGACAGTGGCGGTGTCCATACGTGTTGGCAACGCGGTGTGTTTTGCAGCTACAAGTTTATGAAAATTGCTTAGACGTAGATTAATGGTTACATGTACATATGCAGTACACACACTTAAACGTAACAAGGATGTTGCTGGTGAAGTTGGGAAATGATGTAATGTCCACGTTAAGTTATTTTTGGCTCTGTGCTTAAGTGTTTATTTAGCAATACAGTAGCTCCTTTTAAAAAGCTAGTTCGTTAAGATTGCATACGTGGTGTGTGCATATACACGTGTTTGTGTTGTTCATGCTAACTAAATATATACAAAATACGAATAATGCACTTCCTACACAGTATCGGCACATCCAACACCACTATACTCTATCGAACAGTAATTTAACACACACGCACAAGAACAATAGTTTAACACACACACGCACAAGAACAATAGTTTAACACACACACGCACAAGAACAATAGTTTAACACACACACGCACACGAACAATAGTTTAACACACACACACGCACAAGAACAATAGTTTAACACACACACACAAGAACAATAGTTTAACACACGCGCACACACACAAGAACAATAGTTTAACACACACACGAACAATAGTTTAACACACACACACGAACAATAGTTTAACACACACACACGAACAATAGTTTAACACACACACACGAACAATAGTTTAACACACACACACAAACAATATTTTAACACACACACACACGAACAATAGTTTAACACACACACACACGAACAATAGTTTAACACACACACACGAACAATAGTTTAACACACACACACGAACAATAGTTTAACACACACACACGAACAATAGTTTAACACACACACACGAACAATAGTTTAACACATACACACGAACAATAGTTTAACACACACACACACGAACAATAGTTTAACACACACACACACGAACAATAGTTTAACACACACACACACGAACAATAGTTTAACACACACACACGAACAATAGTTTAACACACACACACGAACAATAGTTTAACACACACACACGAACAATAGTTTAACACACACACGAACAATAGTTTAACACACACACAAGAACAATAGTTTAACACACACACAATAACAATAGTTTAACACACACACAAGAACAATAGTTTAACACACACACACGAACAATAGTTTAACACACACGCGCACAAGAACAATAGTTTAACACACACGCGCACAAGAACAATAGTTTAACACACACGCGCACAAGAACAATAGTTTAACACACACGCGCACAAGAACAATAGTTGAACACACACACACACAAGAACAATAGTTTAGCACACACACACACAAGAACAGTAATTTAACACACACGCGCACAAGAACAATAGTTTAACACACAAAGCTGCGACAATGAGTGGCCGTGGTGGTCTTGCGAGGCTATTCTGGACGCCGCTACAGTGTGTATTCTTGGAGGCGTGTGATCAGCCCCATCGTGTGTCATGTCAATACCGTGTGCGTCTTTGGGCAACACCGGCTGCGGGATTAGCCATTGAACACTCCTCATGGCGATAAAATAACTGGCGCAGAATATTCATGCAGTCCTGTTTTGTATAATTCATAATACGGTGCAGTACTGTACAATAAATTCACAGCCCCTTTGTTAATCCACTGCTGGATGATGGTATCGTGGTGGGTGGTGGGGGAATCACCATACTTTATGTTGGCGAGATGTGGGCTGGTCAAGGGTCGGGAAAGAGTAACGTGGGGGGAACGTTCTGCAAGACGTGGCCGGGCACTGAACTCAGGTTGGCCAGGTTCATAGCGCAGTGTGCCAACCACTGCACCACCTACTTCTCTCATTCAAGGGCTCTCAATAACTTGTTGTTCTCCACGTCTTTATCTGGGAAACAGCGTTCCCTTTAAAACAAGGCGCGTATACTCAATGGGTTCTCACACCTCGTTGAAATAAAGGAGATACATTTATTTATTTATGCCACAGTGGTACTATAAAACTGAAACCAATCATTTCAAATATTCACCTGTAGAATTACAAGGTCTTCGAATATGTGCCATAATTGCATAACCGAAATCATATATCGTAGGACTCGTTGTACGAAGATATATCCCACCACGTTTCCCGAAATATGCAACAGTTCACACTTTGTTACATCGGACAATTAACACTTGCGTGTTCAAGGGACGACCTGGCACCGTCACAGGAATGTGTAATTTCCACCAATGGCTCGGTCGCCCATGAGAGTTAACACACGCTCGCTTCAACACGGGTAAGCTTTGAATAGTCCATGAGGCGTAGTCACGGTATAGTGGGTGGATGTGGTACCCATTGACGAGGCTATACCGCCCCCAAGAGAGATGTATCCAACTACCAACTGCGTGCACCTCATGGTCGAGTGAGAGCCAAGTCCGACCGAAAGTATTAAAAAAAGTCGGTGTGAGCGCACGACGGGATGGTGTGGCCAGAACCACGCCCGGCCGCCTTTGTCTCCCCAATAGCTATGTTTAAACCTCGCCCAGACCATGACGTAAGGCCGAATCGACCTCGGGGAGGCCCAAGGACCGGCATCAGTTCTGATATTCGGCACGGATTAGGTGCACTCAAACTCAGGGCGCAATACGCTAACCATTGCACCGCCACTCCCCGGCGTATGCACATTTATCCCACGACAAACACAGTTTAGCAGTCACAGGGAATAACGCCATCTCAGCAACACACCTGCAGTCCGGCACTTTGCAGGCAAGGGTTGGTGGATCACGTACGTTCCTGAAACTCCCCAACCTGTTGGGCTGCGAGGAGGCCAGGATGGCAGTACAGCAAGTGGGCTGTGAACTTGTCCCTGCATACGTGCAAGGGCTACCCCCCTCGTATGCGTGCGTTTTCTCCGGGGACTCTGGATTCCTCCCACACACAGCCACGACATATCAATGCAGGGCCCTCTAGATCAATTGCTGTTGTTCGGGTTTTTAAACCTGCTCGGCGACCTCTGTGAATGCGTCATTTACCGCCTGACAATGGCCGATTGTGAAGCACGTGGGAGAGTGACGAGTTCGTTCCACGTGAGAGTGCACATGGGCTGCTGTTATAAGCTGTGAGATGCTGTGTGTGTGTGTTTTGCGTTACTCTTGCAAAGTTGGGTCTGAGAACACAAGGATACCACAGGGAAGCGGGTCGGTAGCCAGAACCGGCGCCAACAATTGCCTAAGCTCTGTGATCCTATAATCATTGTGAAGGAGCAAATACGAAGCTGTTTGTTCAACATGTAGTCGGCTTTCGCGACCAATATCATCAATAATACATGTTGTTTTGGGTTAGCTCGCGTAAATATGAATGTGTTGTTAAATCCGCCACCACCACCAGACACAGCTTGTTGTAATTAGTGGCGAAAGTCGTACTCAGATTGCAAATGTTGTGGATTTTCTCTCCAACCCACCGGTGTGCTGTACTCGTAACGAATTGGCACGTTCTGTTTACGTGGCAAGCTTTGCTAGTTGGCTGTGTCGGGTGGTGGCGGGTTTAACGACACATTTATATATTTACGCGATCTAACCCAAAAACCTATACTATGGACAAAGCTTGGTTTTAAAATAAATAAATATTGAATCGCGCTCGAACGTAAGATAGTAATTACACACTATCATTGTTGTCTTGTAAGATGCCTTGGGCTGTGTTCCGGACTGTCCGAGAGGAGTTTGTAGCTTCGTCAATGGAGGGGGGGGGGGGGGGGGAGACTTTGAAATCACGATCAATCATGTATCACTCCTGACCATGTCGCCATATTATGTAGATAATCTGGTGTCTGGGACCTCACGCATAACTTACTTATTTAGTAGGTCAATTTTTATACGGAGTTTTATCAGGTGGGAACTCAAGGCCAGGCTCGTGCCATTTGCAAGTGACCTGGGCCACCGAGCGCGTCATGCGGTGACAGATCGCAGTGAAGAGAGACAGGGCTTCATCTTCTTGGTTCTTTCGGTAAAGTCACGTAGAAGGGAGGTAATAAAATAATAAAAATAATATAATATAAAATAATATAATAAAATAATACAATATACCGAAAGAACCAAGAAGATGAATCCCTGCAGTCACGAAAGCTTTAAATCGAGAGACAGGGCTGTGCATGAGAGGGCGCTCTCCACCCCCACCTGCCCGCAGATCGACTGCCTGTGGTCTACCCATGGAGTAGTAGTATTATACTGCTGCTATGGATAGGGACTGTTCGCCGAAACGTGGCCTATTATATATTTGTAATTTTAAGGCCACAATATTATTCACGAATGTGTTGCGTTTTTCATGTCCACTGCTGCGCGGACCAACAACGATGTTCTACATTTCAAATCCAGCGCGCGAACCACCACCACCACCCCGAGGGAGCCATCATCATCATCAGCCCCGCAGACAGACGCGGCTGTCCGCGTGCTCAGTCCCATCGCGCTAAGCCCCGCCCACCTCCACACAAGCCCCGCCCACTCACTCACAGCCCCGCCCACCTCCACACAAGCCCCGCCCACACGACAGGTCTTCCACGGCGCTAAGCCCCGCCCACTCACTCACAGCTCCGCCCACCTCCACACAAGCCCCGCCCACACGACAGGTATCCACGGCGCTAAGCCCCGCCCACTCACTCACAGCTCCGCCCACCTCCACACAAGCCCCGCCCACACGACAGGTCTCCACGCCGCTAAGCCCCGCCCACTTACTCACAGCTCCGCCCACCTCTACACAAGCCCCGCCCACACGACAGGTCTCCACGGCGCTAAGCCCCGCCCACTCACTCACAGCTCCGCCCACATACCTACAAGCCCCTCCCCTTGTCCCACAAGACCCGCCCCACCTTCCTTGCCCACTTCCGGTAAAGACGAGATCGGACGTCGTCGCTGCGCGCGCCGTGAACATGTCGCCCTCGTCGTCGACGCGGTCTCTCCTCCTCCTCCTCCTCGTCGCGGCCGCCGCATTTCAAAACGCGGTGCGCTGCGAGGCCAGACCGAACCTCGTGCTGATCCTCACCGACGACCAGGATGTCTCGCTGGGCGGAATGGTACGGCGCTGTTTGTTGACGCTCCGCGCGTTTAGAGGGACCCCGTCTCGACTAGTTCCCCTGCGGCGGGAGCGGGCGCTCACTCCGTTGGTAGATGTAGGCCTGCAGGGGTCGGTGTCGAGAATGCGTTAGCACGGACACTGCGATATACTTGATTTAATGATCATCCAAGCTTTTAATATGTCGTGCATTGCCAGACGTAGAATGTAACCGATGCTGTTTGTAAGGTCGTAGATCGCGATGTTATTGCGTGCGGCCCTTTGTCCGTTTGCTGCTGGATTAAGCCCTCGCACGCTCTGTGCGTTATGTGGGTTCGACCATACTTCACCACGCTGTTCATTGCGGGGTGGCGAAGCGGTGGGGTCGTGTTGTGGGCAGTTCCTGTTCGCCGCTAGACGTGGCTGGAAATCTAGCGCAGGTCGTAGGGTTCATTGCGCAGTGCGTTAGCCACTGCGCCATCGCTCCGCACCTATAACCCTGCACCTATAACTCCACACACAGTGAGGTGTAAGTCGGTTGCACATAACCTAGATGACAATTACGTCTGAAAACACCGAGGTTGCCCCTGGCTGCCCCATACGATTTCTTTACAGAAAATCAGATCGTGTCCCATCCATAGTATTATATGAAATGTAAATGTGTAACAATGTTTGGATGAGATGCTTATTATGGTTATCGATTGGTCTCGACTTGAGCCCTGCGCACCATTTTAGTTGGAACAGCAAAGCACCAAACTGCATACTCTATTTGGTTTCCGCCTGTGCTGTGAATTGAGAGTGCAGCTTAACTGTTGTGTTTGTTTTACAGACACCGCTAAGCAAGACACAGAAGCTTATTGGAGATGCAGGCTTCACATTCACCAACATGGTAAACTCGTGCAGGATATTTCTGGACCTCCTTTCCCCAGTCATCTATGCTGCCAACTCTGTCCAGTCTGAATGTTTTTTCCACAGCCTGTGTTTGTGTTCCTAGAGGAGTATTTTGTGGCACTGGTGTTGATTGGCATCCGAGAGCCATTGCTCAGAATTTCACATTAAAGCAATGCACACAGCGATTTGAGACTCAATTATGCTTTCTTGGATAAATAAACGTAATTTAATTATATGTTAATATACCCAAGTATAGAATTCCAGTAAAAAAAGTACAGTACTGTAGTTTTGTCTTTAAATGAAGTAATGTAATCCAGGAAAATGTATGTACAATGCGTAGGTGCTTTTTGTTATGTTAAAAATAATGATTCCCAATGAAACATGTTTCAGCAAATATATTTCCAGAGGAGTGAAGTTTAAGGGTATTGTCCAGTTTGAATTTACTCTTAAGATGTATAGCAATGGTTATGAGCTTCAATTTACTTTCAGATATGATATTTGTGTATAAACCCTGTTGAAATGAATATTTAATTGAACTGCCAAGAGTAGTACGATATGACTAGTTTCCATTTGTGTTTATCGTGAAATTTAGCACCATTCCCTTTTATTACAATACTCACTCTCACACAACCTGAATCTGTCAGCCTGAGCACTTGTAGCAAAGAAAAAGTCGTGTTTCAGGACTTGGTGTATACTTTATCTTCGTCTCCAAATATCTGGGCCAAGTTTAGAAGGGAAATTTGTATATTCACAGCAATGGGTATATGATTTGTAAACGTGTCAACATGTAGTTCCATTGTCATGTTTTTTAAACGTGTTGTTGCCTTTTGAAGTAGACCAATAAGCTCTTCCTCTGTTTGTCTCCCATAGTCATAAATAGTAAATGTGCCACCTACCCCCCCCCCCCCCCCCATCTGTTGCGAGTATGTGCTGTGCTGCCAAGCTTGTAGTCTTTATAGACCGGCATTCTAGAGCTGATGTGTTAGAACAGGGGTCTGCAGACCCATAGGAAGTTACTGGTAATCAACAAGGGGCTTGCAAAGACATGTACAGTGTATTTAACTTATTTCGCACCTTACGTATCCCACCTTGCTCATCGGAGGTGCAGGGGAAGGACAACAAACTAAACACAAAAATCAGTTCTAAAGAAAAGAGTTTTCAACCTCGATAAATGAAAGGTGAGGCCATGGGGGGAGGACCTCTACCTGGCTTCCACAATGCAGTCGGGGGGGGGGGGGTATTGTCTTAAATACACTGTTATAGCCTTCACTATACTACTGCTTTACTATACTACTGCTTTACTAAACAATAATAGGCGCCCTCACGTTGAAAAATATACTCGTCTGGAGTTACCCTTACATCCCCCCTTAAACAACATGGCCTTAAAAATATATAAAATCGGTGTCGTTTTGGCCAATAGCCTTTCTTCTTACCCCAAGGTCAGATAAATCGTCATTCCCCTTGCGGACTAGGTATGATAGATGTATACATCATCACGTGGTACACATTTACAATATCCCTGATGTAGATGCCCCATTCTACGTAGGCTTGTAATGTTAGTGATGTTAGTGAGCACCTATCAACTTTAGGTCACTACTGGAACAAATTGTGATATCACTTCCAATATAATATAGACCGTACATGCCTACACATGTGTTTTCAAAGAATGTTTGCTTGGTGCCCAAATTATAAGGAAAATATTGGGATTGGAGATAAATATGAATCCAAGATATTACCACGTTCATTAAGGGAAAAAATGCTTGGGCAGAGCTTGTCTTGGTGAGGTGTTTCGAAATCGCCTTGAACAACAACACACGAGAGATGGTTGACAAGACATGTGATAAAATGAGATCATTGCCTGCCCTCACTGTACCAGCTGCTTGCCTTATCTTTCCCAAAACACAGTGAAACTTTAAACTGGGAAGTGATGGCAGTCCTATAAAATAACGATGCCCAGACTGCGGAAATTAAATTAATGTTTAGGACAGATATGTTGTAAAGTGGATGGCACTCGCAAACAGATTTATTATCGGTGAAAACAATCTGATGTTGGATTCCTCACTGGCAAGTAACTGTTCAGACCAGCGTAGTTGACGACTCACCCAATGGACATTGCCTGATGACTCACATGCTTGAGCTTATGCAATGCCCCCCCCCCCACAAGAATTCCTTTTGTTTAAGTGCCTTTGGAGAACGTATACCTCACCTGCAAGCCACAGTTGAACAAAGGGGTTCATGAAAGTTTATTTTTTTAATTAACACTCACCAGATGTCAAGCAAACGTTCTCCCAAAACAGTGATGTAAAACATTTAAGGCAATCCATTTTGAATGTATCACTTCCTCTAAAACAGCTGAATGAGTGTGAGAGAAGACTGCACAACACAGTGATGCAGCAGACAGCAGAATTGGTGGCTTGCATTACTTGTTCAATTAAAAACAAGGACACTGCAGTGTTACGCTCTGAAGTAAATATACTAAAGCAAGTCTGGTGGCTGTAATATTGTTCATCATACTTGTAACACAAGAACGTCTATGCGTAATGTAGTCACTTTGTGTATGGTTGAAACTATGAAGGTAAGTGTCTTGCTCAGTGACCCTTTGAGGCATATGCATGGGTCAAATTATTTCTATTCTTTCTCCGTGGCAAAATGAAAAGTGTTTTTCATTAAAAAGCAAACTTTACAACACTCACATTGTCGTCCCTTACTCAGGAAAGTCCATGCTCGTCTCAGTTTTCGTTATTCATGTTTTCTGATGCATGGTACAGTACCAATAATAACATGCTGCCCGAAGTACTTAATTACAGAGCCCATTGTTGGATTGTCACACTTTTGAATCAATGCTGTTCTTTCCAAGTTTAAATGTAAGTAACGTGCAAAACTTGAACAAAGTACTCTCAAAATCAAGCAGTAAAGTTGCATTACTAAAGAGGGGGGGGGGGGGGGTTACCATTGGAAAATGTTACATCTAAAATCTTGCATAATCAGTAATCAAACATCATCCCTTCCAAATCAGCCAGTGAGAAAATTCACTTTAAGTGGAAAAGACGATGTGGTTGAGTGCACAACAGTTTTATTTTCATCAACTTTAGTGCCACAGGAGATAAATGACTGATAATGGATATCTTATTTGTATTATTATCTATTCATTACTTACATATGTTAATTTAGAACTTTAAACTGACCGTGCCATATGAATGAAAGCTATCAACCCCTGAGCCATCATTGTTGATGGCTCAACTTAAAACTTGAGTATTTGAGTTTCTATAATTCTAAGCGTAGGCTCAACTGTGTTCATGCCAGAATTATAAAACATCTTCTCGAACATCCACTTAATTAGAACTTGTATGTATCACTTGCTCGGTGAGACAGACTGTGGCTGACCCGTATTCTCTGTGGATGGGGGATGATAACTAATTGTGGTTGTATGCTGCGCCAGTTTGTGTCGAGCCCACTGTGCTGCCCCAGCCGCAGCAGCCTGCTGACGGGCAAGTACCCGCACAACCACGGCGTCACCAACAACTCCCTGCAGGGCAATTGCAGCGGAGCAACGTGGCAGAAGCGCGAGGAGCCGCACGCCCTGCCCATGCGCCTGCGCACCGCTGGGTACCAGACTTTCTTCGCTGGGAAGTACCTGAACCAGGTAGGGCTGCCTGTTGGTCTCTCTGGCTGGTCGGTGAATTGATTGGCTGGATGGCGGTCTGCCTCTGTCTCTCGTCTATGGGTCTTTTGGTCTGCACATCTGTTGGTCTGTCAGTCTGCCTTTCTGAATGTCTGCCTTCCTTTCTGCCTGTCACCCTCCCGCCCATCCATAATTTTTTATTGGATTAAAGTTGGTGATATATTTTAATTACAAATGTGTAACCAGTGAAATATTTCTCAGAAACTAAGTTACAGAAGGTGACTCTGCTCTCTGCCCCTGTGCGTACGTGCGCAGTACGGATCTGCTGAAGTGGGTGGCCCCTCGTACGTGCCCCCAGGCTGGGATGATTGGCTGGGCTTGGTGAGTGTGAACACAATGGGAATCACGAGGCGGGGCCACTGCAGGTCTGGTTGCCCAATGTCTCTGCTATCAGATTAATCTCCCTTTGTTGTAGTTTGTACCACAGCTAATCTATGAAACGCCTAGGGCAGGGGTCGGCAACCAAAATAACAGGAAGAGACATTTTTTTCGAATTCGGTAAAAAAAACTCTTTCAAGAGCCGCAATGTGAATACGAGAACGTCACAAAGCAGTATTTAAAGAGCCACAGTTTGCTGATCCCTGTTGTTATGCATATACTGGCCCCGGTCATGGGAATGTGGATTCTTTACCTCTATCAGGTACATTAACTGATATGTGTCTATCCAGTATTCATTTGAGAAGTAAATTGATGGCTTTGTTTTTGCTATACTTGCAAATAGACATTACACACACAAACTCTAAACTGTCCAGTGTATCATGGGTCCAGTGTAGTCGCATAGAAAAATTAGATAAGGGCTGTTAATGAACATCTCTTAAAGGTTGCATGGCATTGCAAGGGTAGTGGTAAGGCAAGCACCGTGCATGCATCCGCATTGCCTTTGCCATATCACATGAAGTGCTAATTTTTTAAGCATTTTGATATTTTGGCCAATACTGATAATATTGCATAAAGTTTATTTTTTGCAATGGGAAGAAACCAGAAAACCTGGAGTAAACCCATGCCGAACGGAGAGAACATACCAACTCCACACGAAAAGGCCCCTCCGAGTCTGGAATCAAACTCTGCACCACTGCTCAAGGCTTCAAGAGGAGGAGTGTGGGAACGCAGCTGGGATGGAGTCGGTGTTTAGGGATTGATGTCTCGTCTCACTGAAATCGAGTAAGAGTCATGTTCTGTACGCATTTTCTTTCGGTTGCACAGGTGAAGAATTCCAAGTACTATAACTACACCGTGTCTAACAATGGCAAGGAAGAATTCCATGGGCAGAACTACACGATGGACTATTTAACGGACTTAATAGTGAGTGGTTCACTTTCCTCACACACAGCCTCCATTCTAAGTTTTATGCATTTGCATAATGCGCAGAGTTGCAGCTTCAGCTTCGCTGTATTCTGAAATAGCCCATCTGTTGCATTAGACAATTATTTAGCACATTGCCCGCTTACATAATACCATTCACAGTTGTGTAATTGTATAGAATTGTACATTAATCTATTGGTGTATTCTCATCCCAAGTATTAAAGTATGTATTCTTTGGTTCTTTCGGTTAAGTCACGTCTAAAGATAAAATAATAAATTAAATAATAGCATATTACGACGTTTCGATTGCAACACAAGCAATCATCATCAGGCATAAAAGAAATAGCAACAAAAATCTAACTAGAAAACTATAGACAGACATACAAGCAGACAGACATCACAAGGACACACAGAAGTATGCTTGCTGGACAAACATTACAACAACGAGTACCTAAGAAAAAAACTTTACTGTGCCAAAAAATACCTCTGTATTTTGGAGTTATATTATTCTATTCAAACAAATATCACCCTCACTTCATTGCCTTGCAAAGAATAATCCATCCACTCATTTCTCTTCATCACTATGAGCATGTACTTGTGGCTTGTCATCTCTCCTCTTAAGGATCCTCCTAAAGGTCTTTTATGATTGTAATACATGGTTACAGTGGCAGTTTACACCAAGTCTGTGGTCACTCCCTTCTCTACGAAGAAACATAGGCGGTTACACAGAGGTGATTCTAATATGAATCTTAACATATATAATGTAAAAATTATCTATTGAGCAGCCATTGCATTTAAGAATTTCTCGAAAGGCACACGTACAACACACGGGGCCCAGAAGGATGCGCTGCGAACCAAAACTGCCGTAAAGCATCGCTGGGTAATCTGATGATGCCAACGCTCACCGAGCTGGTCTGTGCGTGTGCGTGGGGCGGCAGACGAACAGGTCGCTGGAGTTCCTGGAGGACCGGTGGCGCGTGAGTCCCTTCTTCATGATGATCTCTCCGCCCGCCCCCCACGAGCCGTGGGATGTGGCGCCGCAGTACGCCAACAGCTTCCCCGACACGCGGGCACCGCGCACCAAAAGCTTCAACGTGCACGGCAAGGTGTGCCCACGCTCGTCCGCTCGCTTTCCTTGAAGGATGGTGCTGAGCGACCCTGGGGGGATCAGAGGTCCGAGCTGGCACCGCTGAGACCCTGGGTTTGAATCCAGGTGGCTGTGTTGGTGTGAGAAATTGACCCTGTTAATGTAAAATCGGAGGGCTAACAATAACAACGAACATAGGAAGGTGGCAGGATGGGAATATCACAGACAGTTATGACTTAAACTGGTTGATAACGTCCTTCCAATGATTTCTAAGTTTGCACCCATCTCGGTTGAAATTGTGTCTGTAAATATGGATGACTTCATGAACTAATCTTTGTTGCTGCCAGTGGGTTTGCAAAGCACCCTCGTCTTAGAGAAATCTATTAACTGTGAGCCCACCGCATTAAAACAATGATCAGCAACGGCCGAGGTATTGGTCCTACAGTGTTTCACATCTGCCTTATGTTCACGAACACGGTCCGAGACATGTCACTTAATTTCCCCAATGTAACTACTGCCACAGACAGCTTAGTTTGTAGATGCCGGGGAATTGCAGGTCAGGGATCATATCCTTCACAGATGGATCGGATCACGAATTTTATGTACTGTGTTAAATCGAACGTGGATCTTGTGTTTGCTCATGATTTAGGAAATATTTTTGGTGACCCCCTGCTATGTATGGCAAGGTGATGGTTTTGGTTGGGTCCTCAGATGGTTCTTTCCCAACGGTTGGGGTGATAGCTTTACGGATTGTGTAGTCTGAATATCCATTCATCTTGGGAGCTTGGTGTACATGTTTCAGTTGGTCGGAAATACATTGAGCTCTATGGTGTCGAGTTTTAATGAGGGAATTCTTCTGGGATGGATGGTGGTGGGAGTCAGCTGGTCTCTTTTCGATTAAAACATCCAAGAATGGTAGCTTGCCATCCTTTTCCACCTCCATGGTGAATGTGATGGCTGGGTGTATGGAATTGGTGTGGTTGAGGAATTGGTTCAGAGCTGGTCGGCCATGTGGCCAGATGACGAACGTGTCATCTACGTACCTCTTCCACAAAGACGGACGTAGAGTGGATGCCTGGATGGCGTCTGTCTCAGATTTTACATTAACAGGTTCAATTTCTCACACCAACACGGCCACCTCCGCGCTCTGACCTCGATGTGGCGGTGGCTCTGCGATCTTACATTAACATGCTAATCTCTCACATTAACATGATAATCTCTCACATTAACATGATAATCTCTCAAATTAACATGCTAATCTCTCACATTAACATGATAATCTCTCACATTATCACGATAATCTCACATTAACACGCTAATCTCTCAAATTAACACGCTAATCTCTCACATTAACATGCTAATCTCTCACATTAACACGCTAATCTCTCACATTAACATGCTAATATCTCACATTAACACGCTAATCTCTCACATTAACACGCTAATCTCTCACATTACCACGATAATGTCTCACATTAACATGCTAATCTCTCACATTAACACGCTAATCTCTCACATTAACATGCTAATATCTCACATTAACACGCTAATCTCTCACATTAACACGCTAATCTCTCACATTACCACGATAATGTCTCACATTAACATGCTAATCTCTCACATTACCACGATAATGTCTCACATTAACATGCTAATATCTCACATTAACACGCTAATCTCTCACATTACCACGATAATGTCTCACATTAACATGCTAATCTCTCACATTAACACGCTAATCTCTCACATTACCACGATAATGTCTCACATTAACATGCTAATCTCTCACATTAACACGCTAATCTCTCACATTAACATGCTAATATCTCACATTAACACGCTAATCTCTCACATTAACACGCTAATCTCTCACATTACCACGATAATGTCTCACATTAACATGCTAATCTCTCACATTACCACGATAATGTCTCACATTAACACGCTAATCTCTCACATTAACATGCTAATATCTCACATTAACACGCTAATCTCTCACATTAACACAGCCACCTCAGCTCGCTCGCCGTGGAGGCCGCTCTCCGATCTTACATTAACATGCTAGTTTTTACCTGGCAGCCCTTTATTTGGTGGAAACCCACCACCAGCGCCGTCACTGCCCATCACCTACATTAACATTAGCTGCTCCGCCCATGCTGCTGACACTTGGGCTACGCCCATTTTAAACCTTTATAAACAGTTTGCCTTGAGAGGCTATAACCCCCTTTTCCTGATGACGACCGCTTGTGTTGCGATCGAAACGTCGTAGTTTTTGTTATTTTCTTTGAAACCTATCTACGTGATTCTTAGGTGTTTTCGGTAAAGTCACGTAGGTAAAACATCAAAATTAATAAAAATAATAAAATTAAAATAAAGATCACGACGTTTCGGAGGCAACACAAGTCTCCGTCATCAGGTGGGACAGTCACAGCCAGATCAGCTACATCAAGTGAGGCAATGATTCAAGATGTAATCCCTTAAAAGCGAGTTGAGGGGGGGAGGAGAGGGGGGGGAGGGGCTCATCAGAATGTGGTAGCCAATGAATGGAAAGTATCGGGAGAGAAGGGCCAACAAAAAGGTGGGCGACGGCGTGGAAGCTATTGTGCGCAAGCGACACACTGCTGCCCACGCCAACGCATTGGGCAGAGAGGGGGGAGGGGGAGGTCTGATACACATGATAGAAAAGAAAAGAAAATGCGTATGTTTATACCAATGCTGGCTAAACAATGAAGAGATTACTGTTAAACACTGGGGAAGTTAACACTCGGTAAAGTGAAGTAAACTAGTGTCTGTCAGATAAGATGGTCAAAAAAGTGTAATTAAGTCTTTTTTGCGTGGTTAATAACATCTTTCCAATGATTACTAAGTTTGTACCCATCATCAAACTTAGTAATCATTGGAAAGATGTTATTAACCACGCAAAAAAGACTTAATTACACTTTTTTGACCATCTTATCTGACAGACACTAGTTTACTTCACTTTACCGAGTGTTAACTTCCCCAGTGTTTAACAGTAATCTCTTCATTGTTTAGCCAGCATTGGTATAAACATACGCATTTTCTTTTCTTTTCTATCATGTGTATCAGACCTCCCCCCTCCCCCCTCTCTGCCCAATGCGTTGGCGTGGGCAGCAGTGTGTCGCTTGCGCACAATAGCTTCCACGCCGTCGCCCACCTTTTTGTTGGCCCTTCTCTCCCGATACTTTCCATTCATTGGCTACCACATTCTGATGAGCCCCTCTCCCCCCTCTCCTCCCCCCCTCAACTCGCTTTTAAGGGATTACATCTTGAATCATTGCCTCACTTGATGCAGCTGATCTGGCTGTGACTGTCCCACCTGATGACGGAGACTTGTGTTGCCTCCGAAACGTCGTGATCTTTATTTTTATTTTATTATTTTTATTAATTTTGATGTTTTACCTACGTGACTTCACCGAAAACACCTAAGAATATGATTCCTTGCAGTCATGAAAGCTTCAAGTCTAGAACTATCTATGTGACTTTACCAAAAGACCAAAATAATATGAATTCCTGTAGTCGCAAAAGCTTTAAGTCAAAAAAATTTGCACTTAAATTTGGTAAGCTCGAGATCTGTGATGTGACGAATATTATCGTCAGTGGCAGAGCAGGTGGAACAGTGCTGCCCCCTTATTTGTGGCCGTTTTCTACATGAAGAGTTGCACTGCTGTGCGATTGGGATGACATTGGGGGGGAGGAGAAGGTAAAAAAGCAATATACAACACAGAAACAAACAGGTGGTAATTTGTTTGAGCCTCATTAATGGAATGTCGGTGTGAAAACGTGACAGGCACATCATCGTAATGTCCTTGAGAGACATGACTGGGGTACAACTGCTCTACATATACTACATTGCTGAATTGCATAGACGGGGGAGCTCCAGGAAGACATCAGTGCACCTTGCTGTTGCACAGAGGCATTCGAGTAACCTCAAAGGATGATGAGCCAATTTCAACCCCGACCAGGATTTTAACTTGCAGAATTCAGATTGCGAGATAGGCGCTCTCTTTACCACAGCACAGGCTGACTAGATTGGTGGCCAAATCCATGTGATTTATTTTATCAGGTTGTTTGCAATTGCAATTAAATGGTTCAGTAACTTTATACGCACAATAACACTGCTGTGGTACACGTGCTGGTTGGTGTGCTGTTCTCAGAATAAGCATTGGTTGATACGTCAGGCGCGCACTCCAATGGCGAACACATCCATCGCGTACCTGGACAAGATCTTCAGAAAGAGGTAACGTCACGGCTCGTACTCGCAAGCGGAGCATCAAACAGAGCCCCCCTTGCCATAGTGCAAGAGCTGCGGTGCCCCATGTTACGTGCAACACCTTGGAGGCAACACCGGAGGTCCCACGTGGATCTTTTGAAGTGTGGCACTTGTTTTGCTACAGCAGTAACTGTCATTATAAACATTAAGCGGAGTCCTCTGAGAATTTAGGCCAGACAGGTGGTGGATGACTATAGCAGTTAAACTGTCAGAGGGGACCGCTGAATGCCGTTACAACACCAACGTTTGAAACAGTCTTGGCGGTGCCCTTTTTTTCTTGAGCGTTGAACATTTATTTGAAAGTCAGCAGAGGTTGTTCGCTATTGACTTCCAACAAAGTAGATGCTCTGTCACCTCTGAGGCAAATGAGTTGAGTGTCACTGATTCAATATGCAGAAAGGGGAGTTATTGGAAGGTGGGTATTGATCATTTGTTTACAATTCATAACTTGTGTGTGCATAAGCTATAATTTTGGTAATGGGATGAATTGTAGAGAAATTATATATTAGAGGATAAAACATTTGACTGATTAAATAATATAGTCTTGAATCCAGTCCCGATCCCTGAATCCTGGTGAATCATTGTGCTGTGGTGGGAATGAACGATTCCATGGCCGCTGTGAACCCAGCGAGTAAGACCAACGACGAAGCGGATGCCAAAATGCCGTCCACTGGCGAGACGAAGGGATCACAGCGGCTCGCGTGCGGGAACAAGATGGATTGTTACATCGCATTACCGTGAGCAATAGCGACGGTTTGGGGAGACCATCCAACAAGGGATCCGTCATGGCTGGTGATGATTAAGATGACGCCACTGCTTGGGTGTGTTCCCTGCCTGTGCTTGCCGGCAGGTGGCAGACTCTGCTGTCTGTTGATGACCTCGTGGAGAAAGTGGTCAAGAAGCTGGAGGAAACTGGAGACCTGAAAAACACTTACATTCTGTTCACGTCCGACAACGGCTATCACGCAGGTAATCCGGTCTCATGAACACATATTTAGCCGCCGTTTGGCTTCCCGGAGGTCACTCTGTGGCGCAAGTGGGCATTTTGTGTGGTTTTGCTTCTCCGTCTGGTGTTGATGAATAAAAATCCAAAAAGTCGAGGCGGTGTGTCCCTGTTCAAACGAGCAACGGGGCAGCAATCATGTCCTGAATTTCGAGGATCCTGGTTCAAATCGTAGTCTGGGATTGACTCGGCCCATCACCCCTTCAGGGTTGATAAATGGAACACAGTTTACTCTGATTGTCTGGGGTAATGGTGGGGAGGGGTGACCTGGATAAAACAAGCAGGGTAAAGGAAATCAAACAAATTAGTTAAGCACTATCATTCTTGTTTTACCTGTACAATGGGAGTAAGTTTTACTTGCCAACGTGTTTACGTTGAGTCACAATTGAGGGAGTAGCTAATGATTAACCAGAGTGCAAGTTTAAAAGTTTTCTTTGTATCTGCCTAAAGATAGAAAACGGGGATAATCCAGAGTTGAACTTGTCATTTCATGGGAAGTTAACAGTGGTCCTTTAGACAGACTGGTCTCTGTGATGAGCTTGTGGAATTTTCCAACACTTCCTCATGGCCAGAAACAGAGATAAACGCTGCCCCAAAGCTCCTCATGCTAGGGAGATGACCTACAGGAGGTGAACGTGAGCAGCGGAGTTTAATGCGGGATTGTGACGACGTTTGTGCGCGTGACATCTGCTCGTTGTTTGCAGGCCAGTTCTCGCTACCCGTCGAGAAGTCCCAGCTGTACGAGTTCGACATCCGGGTTCCGCTGTTGCTCAGAGGGCCCGGTGTCGCGGCCAACCAGAAGTGCTCGGTGCGTACGCGGCACGCGTTGACTTTCGCTTAACTTTCACCGCTTCAGTTGGAATTGACCTCGGAGCACTTTTGATCTTAATGAGCTCTTTATCAATATAAATGGTAGTTGACGGCCTGTTTTCAAGTCACTGCTCGTAAGTTTGGCCTGGCAAAGGTGGGTGGCTATAAAAACACCACTTTCCACTGATGTTGGCTGGGCATCAAACTCGGGTCACCTGGTTGATGAGTCAATGCGCTTACCACTGCATCACTCCTCTACCGTCAATGAGCTCCTATCTGATTGGAAGTAAATTGCATTTGTCTATCCATCTTTTGCTTCCTTTGCTATATATTTGAAGCCAGATTATGGATATTGAACGTCTGGTTATGCCTCCAAAAGTGACTAATGCAGTGCTGCGCTACATGTTCTACCCGTCTGAGTTGGCAGTGGGAATTCAATATTCCCTTGATGAGGATCGGTCTCTCCATTGGACAACCACTGTCCACTTCCCTCATATCAGCACTCTATAGGCCACTGAGGAGTTGATTCAACCACTCCCCCAAGCAGGATTTTAATACTCAACATTCTTTTTGGGTTGGGAAATCTAAACCAAGTGCCATTCGGTTACCAACAGCTCTTCAGGAACGTGACTGTCACCTCTGGCTGTTCCTCCTGTTGTCGTCCATCCAACAGTTGATTCCTGCTCCCAGCTTTTCCCCCTGCGCAGGGGATGAGAGTAACTGCCCGTTGTCGCTTGTTGTAGAAACTGGTGGCGAACGTGGACATAGCCCCCACCCTGCTGGAGCTGGCAGGCCTCGACGTGTCCAAGACCGACATTGACGGGATGTCGCTGCTGCCGCTGCTGGTGAGACGCCCAGAGACGTCACGGAACGTCAACTACATTTGGACCTCTCGGAATGCATCTACATTCACGCGGATTACATGTTATATCGTTCACCTTGCGTTGTAAGTGGCTCTTTCACAAGCTACAACTCGGCGGTCAGTGTTCTGTTAGAGATATGGAAGAAAATTGTCGAAAATGTGATCGCAATAGCTTACATTTTCATAAATATGATCAGGTGTTGGCTGTGCACACGGTTGAAGCTGATTAATAGCGTTCCCATCGTAGCCAGGAGGGGGCGCACCATGGTCACGAACTGGCGGAGTGCGAGACCAGTGGTGGCTATGAAGGATTTAGAGCTGCGCTTGGAAGAATAGAAAGGAATGTTGATGGTTTCCGTCATACATTAGCGCACACACACAGTGACTACGCGATCGTAAAGCAGCAGCAGCGTGCTTCCGAGTTTCTTTCTAAATCTCCGTGAGCCCTGATGGTTGCACAACAAATGTGGCCTAATGGGCCACGTGCTGTGGAATGTGGTGGCGGTCAATGGGAGTGCGCTAACCCGACCCCGCCTGCCTGCTCTGCGGGAATCTGCGTGGGATTGCAGAACGAGACGAGCAAGGCACCGTGGAGGACCGATGTGCTCGTCGAATACCAGGGCCAGGGGGCCCACAGCGACCCCCACTGCCCCAACTTGGGCCCAGGCGTCTTTGTAAGTGCCTGGCAAACATTGGCAGTGTTACAGAGAAGCGTGGGCTGAAAATACTTCATCACCCAAGGCATTAGCAAACGCACCCCTGTAATAATAACCATAAACGCCAAGAACAATGTGGATTTATAGAGCGCTCGGTGCGACCGCATATCCAGATGCTGTATTGAAACAGTGGGGAAAAAAGTGCATCATTCATAAATATATTAAATATGAATCAAATATTTATAACATTCCATTCATCAAGAAGATGAGATGGAAGTGGGGAAATGGAGTATATAGCAGGAAAGGGTAAACAACCTGAAATATTGCAATAAAAAGTGACAGGAAAACAGTGGACATTGATTGGGATGAGAAGAAAACATGTGCTGGATGGAGAATTGCCGGTTATTCAGACGGGCGTTGGTTTTGTTAGATTATAGGATGGCGTACCATTTCATCTTGCTGGGACTTCACGCCTTGTTACCTCCGCCAGCATCACGGTTCTCATCCGTACTCTCGTGCTTGACTACCGTAGTCGCAGGACGGCACTGGCCAACTTTGGAACTCCCCCATCGTCTCGTTCCAAACACCACCACCACCACCACACGTGTTCGCTCCTGTGTGGTGTTCTATCATTGGTGGTCTCGGTTGCTGCTTGAATTGCATTATAGATCTTCAGGCTTTGCTCTCGGCAACTGAGAACAAAATCAAATACTGCAAGGAAAGGGCCGACCATATTGAGGTGCACCATGTACTCACCGTGCAGCAGCTGTGAGATCTAGCACAAGGAAGTAACAGTAAGGAGCTGTACCTCTTAACCTCGAAATATTTGGTCATCAAACCTTTTTTAGAGAATTAATGGATGAGATGATAAGGCAGGGAGATGTATTGCAATGTTTTGCCAGTCCAGGCGTTTGTCTTGCGGTAATATTGCACTGCTCTATTCCCAGCACTGCTTCCCGGACTGCGTGTGCGAGGACTCAATCAACAACACGTACGCGTGCGTGCGCACCCTCTCCAATTCCGCCAACCTGCAGTACTGCGAGTTTGCCGACACAGAGGTGATGAAACGCACCCCCCTCATCCCAACTGAGGCAGGCATTGGCACATATCCAAGACTAAGATCCCCCATATAGCCATAATAGATGTTTGGGGCAAGTGGTGCTAGCGAGCACCCAATGAAGGCCGGCATGGCACATGAGGGGGTGGATGGCCAGCAACACGCCCCAGTGGTGATGTCTACACATTGTACCGGGTACTTCTCTGAGGCTGAGTCGACTTAAGGCAGACTTCAAGACCGGTCAGATATTCGCCAAGGTTTTGGTTCATGAGTGGGAATGAACGCCGGGTTCGTAGCAGAGCGCGATAACCGCCGCGCCACCGCTCCCCACACACAGGCATAACGAGACAGCCTCACGCTGTCTAAGGGCAGTGTGATCTGTGTGGCATTGGCAAATAGAGAAAGCCACAGTGACACGGCAGTGGCCTTCATTGCTGTTGCCAAAATATGTCTGCAATGTCCCCCTGTCATCTGTTGGGTAGCGCTGCGGTTATTTGCTCTTGAATCGCAATTAGAAGGTTGTAAATAGATTTAGAACATCATCCCTTCCAGGCCTGATGAAATTAAAACAATGTTATAAAATTATGCAGTGGAATTTTCCTGGCGTGACTGGTTCTTTAAGGATACGCAACTTCCACCTCCAATGTTTACCAAAACAGAGAGTTGCTCCGTGCTGGTTTGAATGGGGAATTAATGACAACTTTTTTAACAGTCCGTGTAATTTAACATCTTTTTAAGAGTAATTTTTATTGTAGATCACCAACTCTGAATACATAAAAATATTGTATTAAACTTGTAAAGTCATTATGCTCCAAGTTTCTAATGCACCACATGGAAAATGATGTGTCCTTTGGAGGCAGTACAGCAGGAAGGTTGACAAGTTTAGTGATTAAGGATTCTCCCCTTGCACGTTAGATCTTTCTCCAGGCACTTTGGATTCCTTTCAAATGAAAAAAAATGTCAATTGGCCCAATGTTGTAAGCGGAACCTTATTTTAAAAATTACATCACGAAACTTTGGGTCTGAGGAAGGTGACATGGAACTTGAATGATGTGGGTATTTGACGATGACATGAAATACCACATGGGCACAGCTGGCACATTGCCACCAACTTCCCAAGCAGAGATGTACATAAAGCAAGAGGCTTTCGTGGGTAAAGATTTTGAGCTCGCTACTTAATGCAATGCGGCAATCCCAAACACAGCTCCGGCTGCTTCTCAGCTTCTGTGCGCTTGTGTTCTTGCGAGTCATCGCAGAACGTATTGAACCACGCCGCTGTTGTTTCCACCGCCACTCGGCACCTGCGGACAGATCAATTAGCACCTGGCCACTCATTGCAGACGTGATGGGTGCTCAAGAGCGTGCTGCAGTGCTCGCCTCGGCATTCGTCAAGGCCCTTGTCATCACACGAGAGGCTTTGGAGCGACTAACGAACGAGGCGAACAGCCAGCCGTGTCCGCCGTGTGCCGGGACACTGTGCTCGTGTTCGGCTGCGTTGCTCGTTATAGCTGCACGGACTGTACTGTTATTCTGATAGGTTCACGTTTGTCAATGGGGTCTCTGCTCGAATCTAAATAGAGCGGTCTTCATCTCCATGTGTGGCTCATTGTGACACCGTGGTCTACGACGGTCATGCTGCATGTGCCCGACCTCATTGCGTCTCGGAGTCTGTGCAGGGTCAGGCCTGGTCAGTGACCACCGGGGCTCGGTGGAGCTGCGAGGTGAGATGGCAGTGTTGCGTGTCGCTCGTACACTTGGGCTTTGTTTCCTCTCGCTTGCCAATTGTCATGAATGGATCGTGCAAACATCCCAATGCAGGACCTTTGGATAAGTCTTCACACTCGATGCTTTCCTGAGTAAATAATTGACATTAAAACATTTCCATAACAGTGGCCAGGCTCAACATAGGATGCCCACTTTTAGACTTTCAAAGTAACTTCAATGTTATCAGAGTGAATAAATTATCTTTCGGAGAAAGTGTTTTGTATGCTGTGGATAGCTGCATTTCAGAGCAAGAGGAAGAGTTTTTTTTCCAGGCACGGATTAAACCTGGGGAGTATTGATGAACCAAGTACATGGTGCTTCAAGGTGTGATGAATGGATACATTGAGATGCAAAACAAACAGTTATCCTTGGCAGGTATAAAAAGACTGATAGACCGATTGTTTTGCACATCAGGAGAAACGTGTAGGAAAAAAAAAACCCTTTCACTTTGTCATGGCTCTTCGGTGATCACTTCCTGTGTGAAGCCACAACCTTTCCTCATAAGCGCCGTACACCACACACACACACGGCGTCCAGCGCTATAGTCTACACCTCCTCGCTTCCTCCCCACAGGAGTTTGTCGAAGTCTACAACGTGACCAGTGACCCGGATCAGCTGACCAACATCGCCAAGAGCGTCGACCCCTCGGTGCTCGTGCGCATGAACCAGCGGCTCATCATGCTTCAGTCGTGCCACGGCCCCAGTTGCCGCTCGCCCGGGGCGCTCGACCCGGGGTGAGAGTTCGCAACGACGAGTGGCGTTCCGCAGACCGGAGTCGGCCTCCCACACAACTTTTGAGCCGGTCTTGGTTGGGTTGATGGAGCCAGTACAGATGAAGATAAAGCTAGCTGGGCTTGGGATAAATTAGTGACATCTTGTTGACTTTAAACTAAGAGGGCTTTGGCCAGGAGATATAGGATGATAGCATTTTGACAAGACTGATTGATAGAATGGCACCCAAAGGAGAAAACACTCCCTTTGCAAAGGAGCTCGATTGAGATCATTTCATGCACAGGAGCGCAATTCTGGCATTGCAGGATTATGAAGGATGAGGGGAGACCATTTAGCAGTGGATAGAACATGGCCGATTATGGTGTTTTTGTTTTCAAATGCAGCCAGTTTTAAATTAATTAGAGATCATCGCCTCGGCATAAGTCAAAATCAATCTTAAAACAAGGCCACCAAAGTACCGTAAGCCACACAATTCTCATAACGATTGTGGGTTTTGTTGTTCTCGTTCCAGTTTCAAGTTCGACCCAGCAGCCATTTTTCCAGGGAAACCTTTTGCCCAGAGAGCACGGTTCCTTCCCTGACGACGTCGCCACCTTCACGCCTCCTCCACGACACGAGTGGCCCACTAAGCGTTGTCCTAAATGTTCCCCAGTCCATGCTAAACTGGGGGAATGCCTACCGTGTGGTCTCTAAGGGCCCACGCGAATGCACAGGTGTGAATGCCGATTGTTTTGTTGGTGTGTGTGCCCGTTTTTTATATTATTCATGTTTAGTTTTAACTGTGCCCCATGTGCCAGTACCACACATGGTTCCCCATATCTCACCCAGCCAATCACTGGCATAAGTCAATCGGAAGCCCTGTGTTCTATAGTTATAGTTAAACCAAATTGGTCCACAGCTGCAGCAGATTGTGGCTGGCATGTCGACACACGTCATCATCAGGCTCGGGCTTTGTCAGCAGTTGGTTGGGTGACAACGAAGACAATGTCATGTCACACTCAAAGTGGCATTCGATGCTCTCTGTTACAAGTTATTATTTTTGCAGTATTAGAAGACATTGCCAAAAGAAGCATTAGCCCCGATATATGGTGTTAATTTATAAATTATTTCTAATCTGTGGATGTTAAACATTCTGTTGTGTTTCACACAGTGTAGTGAATCGATCAGTTTTCTCAATTTGGGGGCCGCAATTTGATTCAATAATATATTTTTGTCTTCTCCCATTAACCATCTTGTTTGTATCGTTGCTTTTTCTGCCTCTCATTTGTACAGTTTTTGTGTTCACTCGATTGGCCTCAACGTAACATGAGCATATCATTTGCATGCATCAAAATAGTTGGTTCTTACACTCACAACGCATGCATTGTGAGTGTAATGTTCGCTTTACGTCCTTGAATCAATGCGTCGTTACACGTTTTAGGCTCCATAGAATGGGTTGAGGTCAAGAGCTCGCCCTGGCCAGCGATGTCGATACCACCACTCACCCACCACCAACACCACCAACACCACCGCCACCACCAACACCACCCACCCACCACGGCTTCTTGCTGTGAGACTCGTCAGCTGTTGTCGCCACCCGAACCTTTGAGGTCTCCTCTCGTCGGCTCCCAGTGTCTGGGTTTGTCTGCACCTTGCTGCTCTCCTATCTCGGCCTCTGCTCTCGTGTCCGTCACCTGCCCTCATCCATCTTGCACATTTGGCCGTGAACTGCAACATCCTGGCATCCATAGTTGGCACCACATTGGAAATATCCTCTCTGACTTAGCAGCCTGTAGTAGAACCAATAGACTTGAGCTCCCCACTAACACTCCATGTGGACAGGTTGATATGACCCCAACTGACTTACATTTTACAGGAAAAAGTAAGCATTATTAGAGTCTATAACGATAAAAGATACATTTTACTCGTAAATAATATATTTAGTACTTAACATATAAATGTACTAAGGGGTTCTTCAAGTTAAAAATCACACTGCTCATAGAAGGTGAGTAGTCAAACGCTCCGTTCTTTTGTGTTAACCCAAGCCAAGGTGGACTATGCCCTGGGCTACAGCACCTCCACGTATTCGATGCAGACTCGTGACTGCCATCTGCAGCATCGAAATCCCACCGACTGCCCCCATTGCAAATGGTGGTGGTGCTGCTTATGCTATAAATAATTTGCATGATTCTATATTCAAAGTTTCATACTTTACACTTTTGTAAAAGCCCACTTCGATGACCTCCGTTGAGACAGGTGGCTTGCTAAGGAACTGAGACGGAATTGAAGCGCATAACGCGTGAACTAGCGCCGCCTTCCAGGAACTTGTGATGTGAAGGCACTCAGACAATGAATCGTGTATTCAAGTACGGAGGAAGGATCGCCAATCTCTCAAGCTCCAAACAAAACCTGACATTTCCTGGCTTCAAACAACTGCCCTGTTACGCATCTCAGCTGTCTGTTCAAATGAGCGATGAGATGGCATTCCGCCATTAGTAGCCCTGAGCGAGTGTGGTGGAAATTCCACATTCACTTGCGGTGTTTAGTCTCCACTGCAGCACAGAAAAGTGGTTCTCATTTTCTTAAATTAAACGGAGTGTGGTGTGAGTATAGCGCCACCCAGCCGCATGTATGAATGACAACAAGCGACGTGTTACTTGCTATTTCGCATAAATATTGCCGAGTTGTGACAATCTGTGATGTGCCAGTGCTTGGCAAGTTAGCAAATACGTTTGCTCACATTAAGGGAACGTCCTTGGCCTAACGAAACCTTCGCCTATAATGTTTACCAATTTTGTACCCCTGTGTATTCAGACTAATCAACACGTAGCGACGTTGATATGCTCGTCCAAGTCATAGTATTATGTTCATGTGGACAGCGCTTTAGCCACTTGATACCAAGCTTCAGAGATTGTCTGGAGGCGGCTCAGTCCGAGGGAGACTGAAGCGGGACGCGGACCGAGGCTTGAGAAAGCTGTGCCTCCACGCGGCCCACTGCCGCGGTTTACAGGTCCTGAGGGGAGTTCGTGTGCTCCGCTAGGCGACGTGGCACGATTACCACAATTCAGGTCGAGATGCTGAGCTGGGACTACATAAATACAATGATAGCTCTACCTACACCAAGTAAACCAGTCCACCTGTGCCATCGACTGACGTGTTATCCACACGCAGACGTGTTACCCACACGCTTGGGGAACGCACCATCCCATCTGCATTGGGAGCGTTTACGTGGCGGGAGCCGGTGGAGGTGTTCCACGTTCTAAACGGGACCGGTCTCTCCACCCGAACACCACGGGTGACTTGCCAGGAGTGACGCTCTCGTTTTATTTTATAACCAAAAACCGAAAGAACATCACCAAGTTGATCATTGATCGTGGTGCATATTGATTTTAGTTTAACGACTATTTTCACCGATTCTTTAAAAACGGCGTGAATCTGCACTATTACTTGTGTCGCCTCGTGCAAATGCATCCTAATCTGTGTGCACGATGTGCCTCGCGCGTGCGGGTTTGTTGCGTTTGCCTCGCAAGAGTTGGGCAGTCGTGAGTCTCCGTGAATGCCCTTCCACTGCTCGGGTTCCCTCCAGCTGCGCCCCCCCCCCCACAAAATGGAACAGTCCGACGTGGGCTTATACAATGAAAAAGGAAATCCAGCACTGCATCTTCCTGTGGTACCACAATAGTTTTAAAGTTCGTTAATTTAACCAAGCTGTGTGCTGTACTACTCGCAACTACATAGTGGCAATTGTAGCTTTGAAAATTGTGGTTTAGACCGCAGCATCTTTAACGTCCCTGTGAGATGAAACAGGCAACAAAATCGCTCAACAGAAGACAAATCAAAGGGCAAACCATCAAGAGAGGTGAGTGTAGTCATTTTGGCACCCGTTTGGTTGTGGCTGTTGACACACGGCGTTGGATTTCTATATTTAGATCGTTCCATTTTCTACCTGGGCAGGGACAAACGTGGAGTGACCAAAAATGAAGCGACCGAGGGAATGGCTGCGAGCGTTGAGAAACAGCCCCCCGGCAGGCAGGTATCATCGGTGCTGAAAGGCAAATAGCGCCGCTGCCTGCCCGCACCAAGTGGGCCCAGACCTCTTGCGTCGCGCGAGCCCCAGCACACACCGGAATGCCACTTTGTAACTCAACTACAACCTCGGAGCAGCGTGGGGTGGAGCACCCAATCCAACTCTGTCCTTCAACTTTTATATCAATCTGCTCGCCTCCCACTCGCCCGAATCGCACCGCTTGCACCAATGGCTTTGTGTTTTTCCATTTGGTTTGGTCGCTGTTTAGTTTGCGTGGACAGAGCTGCAGTGTTGTTGCAATCTTTCAGGCGTCTACCGTGGCTAAGCTATGCGTAGGAGCGTCTCTTCTTGACATCGCGATGGAGCTGCTGTTCTCTGTGGGGCCCATGCTGCTGAACTCTGGGTTCGTTGGATTTGGTGGCAGTTGATGTCTTCTTAGTGCATTGGCCAATACTGAAATGTTCACAAATAGTGTGTTTGTGTTTTCTAGGTTATTTAAATCGTGTACTACATGTTGATTTATTTCGCATTGATCCATTTTATTCTGCAAATGCTTAGTTGAAATAAAGTTTGCGTTAATTTAAAGATAATTCTTAGTTTAAGTTATGAGTAACTTTTAAAAGCTGTATTACTAAAACTGCTACAAATGTTAGCAGAAGTGTTATTTAAAACTTGGGTTAACACCAAAAACCTTGTACGAGTCTCGTCATGTAAACACAGACCATGGTTATAATAGCGTAATGGTCCAGTACTGACAAACATCCAGAGAGCGCACGCGTTTCCGCGATTATTGACCCATTTATCCTCTGTAAAGGTGATTTAGCCAAGTTAAACACACACGTGTGTGCCGCTGCGGCAGGTACAATGCAACGGTTCTGCTATCGGACCATTATTGTTGATGGCGGCGTCTTTGAGAGGTTCCTTGGGTCGAGGAGTGTTGCTCCGCCACGCACGTGACGCTCGCGTGAACCGACCCACCACCGCCCCGTGAACACCGATTGAAATTTCCTTTGAAATGTTATTAAAAAAGTAAGTTGACTTGAACTGTCGCCTAACGATTTCATTTCATGACACGCGGACCGAGCGTGTGTCGTCATCTGTAACCTGGCGAGAGTTTGTAGAGAGCGTGAGTACACTCAAGGGCGTTGTAAATCCTTCAGTGTTTAATATCGTCATCAGCTGTGAGCGAGTTGCTGATGAAGACGGAGACATTGACATCACGGTCCTGTGATGCCATCATCCATAGCCGTTGGACATTGGCGGATTCCATCACTCGTTCTCCCTGGTGCACTGCCCTCCTTGGTCGCAGCTCCATCATTTAGCCTCCAAACCCACCGGCTGTCATTCCTTCCATTGTGTTGTCCGAGCAACACAGTGTCGTATCGAGCTTGTCACTCTCCGAACTCGTGTACACATGCAAACCCGTGTGTAGCAATTGCATGTGGGAGTCTGGTACTAATCAGTCTAAATATACAAACACTATTTGACTGTAAGGTAACATGCGAGTGTACGCTGTATCTGTGCTGAACTCCGTGGAGTTACGAGTCTCCAAGGGCGCCGACGGCTGCAGAGATGAGCACCCGCGCACGTCCCAGTCGGCGGCTGGCGCTGCCCCCCCCCCCCCCCACGGCCCTGGCGCTGGGCTCAAATCCTAGCAAGTACGGTGCCGGAAGCTGGCGTGGACCTCTTCTAGATATACTCAGCCTAAAAACAATATCGTACCATTTATACTGCACTGTAATTACCAGCACGAAGAAGACTGGGTATGGTGCAGACTTATACCCACTTATGTATCTTAAATGGTTCTTAATCGGTGCTTGCAAGCAGTGCTTAACACAAGTCTCGACAAAATGTGTATGTGGAGCTTGCATTGTCGGGCAAGTTCATGGATCTCCCTGCTGAAATACGGGGTGACATGAATGCAGAATTCAGATGAGAATCCATTTTAACGTTGGCGGTTTGTGTATTATAACTTTGTTTTAAACCTGGCCTATGGATGCACAAGAATTTGGAGAAACGCTGCCGCATGCAAATGACGGCATTGGTTATTCAGTGACCCAACATTCCAGGCACCTTTGCTCGGCAATGGCAGGAAAGTCCTGCTCCTAGCCACTCGCATTGGGACGCACACAACGCAGGGGAAGTAGCGCGTAGTCGTGCTGCTGCTGCTGTGTCCATACGCGTGTTGCACGTCAGTGGCTGGCGCTGAGCTCCCGAGCGGCACGACGACGGCGCATGTGACACGGAGACCTCGCGGAGACTCACGGCCACGTTGTGTGTCGAGAGGCGGTCAAACGCGTGAGCTACAGTCGATGCACTTTATTGAGCGCACATGCTCGGGTAACACGCGATCAGTCAGCACAATGTGATGTCAGTACTGGTCTTTAGTAAAATACCACAACCAGGAAACGACGATGTGAGCACCGGATTGAGTGTTTCTCGGCAGTGGCTAACGTCGCGTTTTGGCGCGTCGGTGTGTGCTGGACCAGATTTGTGTTAAATTATAATCACACACGCTCTACGGGGTACATCTCTTACTTTGCAGGGCAGCATCTTCAAAATCCAGAGAATGCGGTGTCCGCCCGTTGTTAAACAGCCAAAACAACAGCAGCTGCAGAACCGCAAGGACATTGATCTGCCGCACTTTGGACTCCGTATTTGAGCTTCCCAAGACGAGTCGATTGCGACCGCATAGAATAGAATTGGTTTAACACGTCGCCTTTCGCGACCAATATTATTGAGGTTTGTTGGGTTAGATCGCGGTAATATAAATGCATCGTTAAACCCGGTGAAACGTCGTACTCTGATTGTAAATGTTGTGGTTTTACTCCCCAACACACCGGTTAGTGCTGAACTAGTGACGAATTGGCACGTTCTGTTTACGTGACAAACCTTACGAGTTGGATGTGTCGGGTGGCGGCGGGTTTAACGACACATTTATATTTACGCGATCTAAGCCATTAAAAAATCTTATGGATAGAATATATTTGACCGCTCACTCAACATAGCATACATGTCAACATAGCATACATGTCAACATAGCACACATGTCAACCCATACGGTTTACCCACATTCGTGTACAGGAGAGTTCAGGTCCATACAGCCGTTACGAGCAACATGTTTTGTCTATTCTTTGGGTCTTTCGGTAAAGCCACGTAGAGGTAGAAGAAATAATTTAAAAAATATCACGACTTTTTGATCGAAATACAAGCAATCGTCATCACCTGTAACACATCGATTGAAATGTCGTGATATTTATTTTTTTATTTTTGTATATCTACGTGGCTTTACCGAAAGACCCAAAGAATATGAATTCCTGCAGTCACGAAAGCTTTGTCATGTTTTGTCTATTTGTGTTTCTCCCTTGTGATGAACGTTAAGATTTATAAGGGCACGGGTTGACCAATAAGGTCTGAACTGGTCTGTAACAAGTAGGCACTGATAAGGGGTTGACAGGTATGACCACGTGTTCTCAAACTGCTCATTTTACAGAGCACATAGGCAGCCGCACATTTCTGACTTGAGAAGCCGAGCATTCGGTTACACTGAAAGTCATTGCCAGATAATCTGATGATTGTTCTTCTTTTTATTTAAACATTTCAGAAATGCTGTTACATTTGAAATGTAACGCTACAGAAAACGACACTGACAAACTTAAAATTAAACGGATTTTTGCCTGTAAATGAAGGGGGCGATGAGACGAACAGAACAAAGCTTTTGTTAGTCATATGCTAGCACAGTCTGATTCTATCAATACAATAATTATGATACTGCTTAGAAAACTATCCAAATGGCAAAACGTGAAAGTGGAAATATATGCTTCGTATGACAACGCGAAGTTAGTTGAACACCAGCAATTGCCTGGCAAAACTCTTTAAATACCCATCGTGTTCCAATTATTCGATTGTGCTATCAGCATCACGTCACAAGGCAAATGAATTCATTATAATTCTCGGGTCGAGCATTACACCTCACCTTGTGTTAGAGAATGGCCTACAAAATGACAATGGTACGTAATGATCCACAAAAGGTGATGCATCTATTATCCGGCCTGCAGACAGCATTCATCACAAGGTAATGCGCCTAAATCTGTTCTGTATTCCTCAGCTGGAATATTCACCATGTCGTGAAACAATAACACCAACTATTATTCTGGGAGTTTTTTTTGTGGCGTCATTCGTGACCAGGCTAAGACCACCATCAACTCGCTGCAAGAGAACCCAGTCTGATCACGGGCAACTGGGGTCCACATTTGAAATCGGGATCTCAACGACCCGCGTTCGCTGCCATGACGTGGCCATTACGAATCGCCATGAGAAAACATCACCGCCGGTAGCAGGCACGCATTTGATGACCCATATCGAGGAATCCTTCTCAATCATTACCACATGCCCAGAAACACGATTTGCTGCACACATGTTGATAACATCAGCAACAGCGCCACGTGTTTCACCTTCCACATATTTACACTTTTCGTGTAAACAACTCGAGTTTCTCTTTCGCGTGAAACGACACCACAGTACCAGCTCAAAACATGCATTTTTATTCGTGCCGTCATCCGTCAACCGGTTATAGAATCATCGATGTTAAAATACCCTGATTAATCTCCATGAGTACAACTATCCAGAATCTACAATGCAGCATTTGTAAAAAATATAAGCGCAATACAACTGTACTCTTATTATTGCTCCGCTCGGTATCATCGCCTAGCTATTTGTCTGCTAACAGCAAACGTGCATCATAGCTCGTAGCAATGTGTAAGTGCCAGCGTCCAAGTCTCACTCCCATCCTACCATGGTTATCCAAGGTCATAAGATAAACTCCACTCCCATTAGCTAACGAATCCACCCCTGGTTTTTCGACAATACATTATCATCGTCACGCATTGTCCATTCAGAGGGATGGATGGCTTTTAACCCCCATCTCCAAGAAGCAGAGCAATGCGTTACAAGTCTTCAGCATAAAACTTCATTGTCCATCACCAGTACCTCCAGCCAGCCAACACGAGATGACACGGGGCGACATTTCATGCGGCAGCAGCAGCGGCAGGGGAGGAGGAGGAAGCGATTTAAAGACTCGCAGTGAAGGGGACCGCAGTGCCCGCTCATCAACGCTGCTGCGACGACGACATCTGGTACATCTGGCGCGAATGCAGTCGATATAGAATGAACAATAAGTTAAAGAAAGCAGAGAAGACTCGCACACGCGCGAGAAGCCGAAGGACCGGATTTGAGCAGTACATCAATAATAGCCTTTGATTCAAACATATTGCACATCCTTTGGCCTATGTATATGTACTACTACTGGTTTCACAGTCTTGGCTTAGCGGGTAGGCGGCGTAGCGAGCGAGGCCGCCGCTGCTGCCGCCACGCAGTGGCCAGGGACACGTGCAGTTTGTGGGGTGCAGAAGCACCACCACCACCACCAGGGCTGTTTGGTGTCCACCCACGCAGATAAATTCTGAGTTCCAGCTCTCTCTCCGTTTATAAACAGTAGCCTTGTGTGTATATCTCTCATTTGAATTACAAATCTCTCATGTATCGTTTAAATACATCACTTTTATATTACACAAATGTGATAACGTGCATCTCAGCTATAACTGAGAGCAGTGACAAATCTCGCCGTCTAATTCACAGCACTGATTTTGTTAAAACGTACCGACTGCTTATAACCGTGGAGGGCAACTTCACATGCCCGCTCGCCCACGGCTCTTCAAAACAGCAGTATGCAGCCATCGTTACGGTTTCTCTCAACACAATTCCCTTTCCAAGTGCAATCGAAATGTCTCCCACCACCAACCATCTTGCAACTTACAAACACCTTAAACCTGCATCACCTCCCCTTGAGTATATTTCACAATACTGCAAGATCACCTCTGTCTCACACACATCAAACTCTTTCCTCACATCGTCACCTATTGTATCTACTTCCTCAAATTAACCATCTGCTTTTTGTCATAAAGAAACCGCGTTTAAGACTTTTTGTAAAACTGCCTTACATTTTATTTATATTTCAAGAAAATTTACAACCAGAATTATGGATCAAACACATTTAAATTACAAAAAAATGTAAAAGCTCACTCTCACATTTTACTGAAGGGGCCTTACTCCATCCAGGTATTAAATCCTTGCTCATTTCAAATCTCAGGTTCTAAACATTCACCCAACTCAAGGCAGCTAAATACCACCAGCACTGGTGAGACCTAAACCCAATAAATTGGCTTTGGTCAAAAAGCATTGTCTGAAGAACAAGGGAACCAAGCAGATCATTGAAGCTTAGATTAAAGTCTCTACCTGCATGTCCGAACAGCAAATCAGACATCGCCACACCTGGCGAGTTTGCACCAATCAGGAGCTTCATAGCATCCCTTCCTTTTTCATCCTAAGAATCAAATTAATATTCAAATCAATATATTCAATAAAATATATATATACTGTACTTCAAGTTAAAGCCAAAATTGCTGAAACTTATCTCCATTGGCAGCCCTGAGCCAGTGGTAGTAATTCCACATTTCCATGGCGGTGGTCAGTCTACATAGGACAACCACTGTACCATATTCTATTTACATTGTCTGATATCTTTAAATAAATCTAACAAAGAGTTGACTGACTGAAAATGCACACACAAGTTTAACAGTTCACATTGATCTTGACTAACAATTTAAACCATCCTATAAATATAAAAATAACAACACCACACTTAATAGAACAGGGTCGTATTTACGACATGACAGTAACGAGGAGGGCATGTACATTCAGGGTGCTGCTTGCAAAGCCACTTCACAATTACCACCCGTTCTGTTATCATCATTAATAACTGTAGTAGTATTTGCTGCCAAATGTGACCATAAACATTGGTTTTGGCTGGGATACAGCTCAGTTGGCAGAAGAACTCCCCACAATGAGACAAGTTCAAATCCTGGACAGGGCCATCGCATTCCGTTACCATCCTCTGGGGTCGGTAACACGGACACCGCTTTGTTAGGCGGCACGATTTGGTGGTAGTGTCTAAATTACATTTTAATGTTGATATACTTGACCCCGCCACAGGAATGTGGAATTTCCATCACTGGCTCAGAATCAGCAGATGAAAAAATGTTGCTTAACAAAGTGATGGTGGTTGCTCAGAAGAGGGGACACTCCCTTTTGAGCCAGTCCTCTTGATATCCAAATACCAGGGGCTCCGTGCTGTACGAAGCGCTGTCCGTGCGAAGGGGCTCAGACACAAGGACCTGCTCACTGTGGATATTCAAGATCCCTTGGCTGCTCTTGAAGAAGAAAGAGCGCATGTGCCAACTCCACGTTCCAGGATAAAAGCAAATACTACAACACCACGTCATCAATACAAGTATCTGTCCCTGTCCAGTCTTCTTTAAATCGCTAACTCTCAACAGATTTGCTCTTCCCTTCAAGGGCGCTGCTTTATTTCTGCTGGGAGGAGATGCGCGCACCTCCACGAACACGTCCAGCATTCATATTTGCAAATAAATAAAGCCCACTCCCTCTCCACCATACACGCGAACGACTTCTGAATATCGGACGGCGAGACTGGCAGGGCGTGCGCAAGCAGAATGGTTTCTGTCAATGACACGAAGCACGAGACCACTGCAGGTCACGCAGAAGCCGCGCTTCCCACCCAGGAAGCCCTGGGAAAACTAAAAAGCCACTGGGCTAGATCTCATGAAAGCAGCAGAGACCGACTGCACGAGACGAAGTCATTGAAAATGACATGCACAGGTGCCACAACTTGAAGCCAGCAAAGGACAAGCTAAGGGCAATAGCTGCTAAGGCCATATCGGCTGCTGTCAAGTGGAAAGCACCAAAGTTTATATCGAATAAGTTCCTAGCAAATACGCACAACCACGAACGCATGTCACCCACCGCCGAGTCTGCTCACCCATAGGCAGAGTCACCGTGATACCCGGAGGTAGGCCAATGCTTGCAAGCGAGTCTTTAGGTTTGAAATGCAACGTGTAATTCAGTGCGTGTACTGTAGAATTCTCAGACGACGTAGGGTGTGTTTTTGTAATTTGAGTTGAAAGCAGAACGTATATTTTTTTAAGTCATAATAATAATGCGGTTATGGCTTTGCTCATAAAATGCGAGCCGTTGATGGTCATTTGGTTGATGGATGGAAGGAGGGGGCATTTCAATTGTTCTCTGCTTGAATAGAAAAATGTTGCGTGGATTTCATGTAGAGTACTGTGCTAACATCACGGGACGCAATTGGTATCGACTGCCTGTGAAGAATGACTTCTCATCATCATCATCACCATACCTCGTGAGGCTCCTTAACTGGGTGGTGAATCAACAGCGGCGGGACACCGTGGCCTGACTCGTCACCACCACAGGAATATTCCATAAGTAGTTCGGAAAGGAGAACATCCACCCAGATGGAGCGATGAAGAGAGCTTCAAATCTAGAGCGATGAAGAGAGCTCGTGTGCCGCTGCTCAGCGAATTGTTACATCGCATATCCGTGGGGGTTGGCGACGCCTTTGGGAAAACCTTCATCCAACAGTAGATTGACTGTCTGATAACGATGATTATGATGAATTATATTCCCTGGCAGTATAATTTATCAACCATCTACTTCGAGCAGGGAAATGACATCCACATCATTGTATCACGGTGCTTGACTTCAGTTGTGCCCCCAGAGTCCAATCGGTGACATCAAACTGAGCACTATCTGCTTGAGCTTCAGCAGTGGAGGCCCCATCCAACTCAGTCGCACCCATTCCAGGGACAAGGGGAAAGTACTTTGGAGTCAAGATATCGCTCTATTCCTTGTAAGCATTCACCCGCACATCGCCGTCCTTACAGCGTGTGGCTCAACTACAACGCTCCGCTCGGGCCTGTGTCTACACATAGAGACTCACTCGGTGAAGAGCGTTCTTGAGAGCCGATGTCACGAGTCAAATGTTAGCATGTCCACTGTAGGACTCACACTTCGCATACATTCACACACTCACTCACTTAGACACCGGTATAGATTGTCTCGGTAGGAAGAAGCAGAGGTCAGCGGCTATCTGCAAGCGGTAAACGTTGTAGATGATGCAAAGAAGCACAGAAGAGTTTCTGGGACAGGCCCACGGAGCCCACCAAACGACTTGCAACTTCACAGGATCACAGACATCGCAAGGTGAAGACGAAATGGTCGCTTATGTGGGCAAGCACACACAAAGACTCCCCGTACAATCGTGACAGACTGTTGGGGCAAGTTCCATTAGAGAGCAGCACCTATGAAGGCGGATGCAGCATAAGAGGGGGTGGTGTGGCTATCACCACACCCGGCCGCATTTGTCACCCCGGTAGTGATGTTTATACACCGCACCAGGTATTCACATAAGGTTGAGTTGACCGAGGTGAGGCCCCGGACCGGTTCAGATATTCGTCCTGAAGTTGGCCGTAAAAGGGAATGTAGCTCGGGTCTCGAGGTTCATAAGGCGGCATGATAACCGCTGCACTGCCGCTCTCCACGCACGCAGCAAGATAAAGATCCTCTGTTGAGCCTCATGAACTGCCAGGGCAATTGCGATTATCAAGCACTAAGGCCAGCAAAGCTTGCAAAGGTGTGGCAAGCGACATTCCTGGCCACCTTTGTTTCCTCTCGTTAACGTGGGCCACATAACACTAAGTATTAATTCTATGCCGAGTTCGCCAAAGGGGAAATTCAGGGCCAGAAATAGAACCTGGGTAACCAGGATCATAGTGCAGTGTGCTAACCACGAGGCCACCACTTCACATACAGACTCACACCAACAAACAAGCAGCTACCTGCATAAAAAAAAAGTCATCATTATTTGGAGTCAACACAGAAAATGTACCAAAAGCAAACAATCCGAAATTATAATAACACAAATAATTAATTTAATTAAAGCCTTCCAATAATTTTTACTCCTTAACAAAAAGCAAATGAACCTGTGAAAGTAACATTACCTGTATTCGTTCCGCATAAATAAAAACTTATTTTTTTTGGTGATTGTGATTATGTCATTTTACGCATTTGCTCATCATGACGTCACAGCCCCAACCCATGGAAGTCAGTGCAGGCCACAGAGACCACGTGGCCGCTCACGGGCGGTGGGCCTCGCGGGCCACTATGGCTCGAAAGGAAGGCCGACCCTCCCCACAGGGACGGCCTCCTCATCTCCTGTTCATCGACGCCGCCTCTTGAGGCCGCGTTCGTCAAATCGGCCGCCGAGTCGGTCCAATCCCACGGCGCGGTCGTTCCCACGGCGCGTGCGGGAGGGTGGCGGCCGCCGCTCAGGCGTGGGGCGGAGCGCCGCCGCCCGCCATTGCGTCCCGCAGGAGGCCGCGGTAGCGCGAGAACTTCTCCTCCACCCGCCGCACGTGCTCCCGCTCCTCGCGCTCCAGGATCCTCAGGAAGTTCTTGAGCTCCGGGATGGAGAACGCTTCCCACTACACACGCGGACGCACGCGCGTAACCGTTACGCGCGCCCGCAAAGCCGCGCGTGCGTGCAAAGAGTTCTGCGTGCGCCTGTATTCACGGGCGCACAATCGCGCGATCGCGCGCGTGCGCACACGAGCCATACAAGCGTTCACGTGCGCACATCTGCACGTGTGTGGGTTGGTGCTGGTGGGAAGCACAGAGACGGAAGCAGTACAGCACAGCAATGGATTTTTCTGCACTGTCCACCATGTAGCCCCTCGCAGCCAATGGTAACTCTCTCTGTCTGTGCAAGCTCGTCGGCCACCTGGGCACTCTCCAGGCTCACTCAATTCCTGCTCCTGCTTAGTTTCCCAGATCGGACGAGAGCGGACGCATTCCGTGTGATTTTTGTCATAGGCACACAACCAAAAGATAAAGATTCCCCGTGTAGCCTTAACAGACTGTTGGGGCAAGTGCTGTTAGCGAGCACCTATGAAGAGCGGATCGGCACAAGGGGAGGGGTGGCCAGCACCACGCCCGGCCACCTTAGTGATGTTAACACATTACAAAAGGTACTCATTTGAGGCCGAATCGACCTAGAGGAGGCCTACACCGTCACACGTGCACAACCCCACACAGGCATGCAAGCACAGTCACAGAATTTAACATTTAACTTAGATTTGTGTTCGTACATCATTTTTAAGTTGTCAAGTGACGCAGTTTTTGTGTTGGGTCCGATTGCTATTTGCTAAGCTGCTGTATTTGTATTGCTTTTGTAATTGTGAACCGAGGTGAACAAAGATGGGATAGTCTCTCCCACTCACAATAACTTCTCTGGTCTCGTTCTCTTGCAGCAGGAAGCTGAGCGCGTTGGGGTCGGGCCCGGCGAGCAGCCTCACCAGCAGCGGCCGCTCCGCGTCGCCCAGCTTGCGGTGGCAGCCTGCCAGACACAGAGCAGACGCAGCGCCGTGAGGCATCGCCGCACCCCCACCACGCTCGTTCGGCTCTTCCGAGCGTGCGAATGCAGCCGTGCGGGATGTGAAGCCAAAGGGACTGCGTCACAGTTTAATGCACTCAATGGAACAGGTCAGGTTCAGATAGGCAAGGAAGTTGTTTATTTAACATGATAGGCTAACACAGCCGATATCATGATTCATAATTCATTTTTGGGGAAAGTCAGGTAATGATCTGGCTAAATTTATGCCGTGAAACCCTCCACCATCCAATATAGCCACCACGCAAATGAAATGCCCACGTGTACAGCGTTCAACGTGTCAAGCGTCGTTTCAGCTCACCAAAAAGTTGAAGGAATGATTCTCAGCCAAATTTATCAATTGGATATGACGGGCCACTTGGAACTGCGTCAAGCATCTTCAGGTGAGCCACCAGCAAGTCGGAGCGACGCACGTGGAATATGCACCACACACTCCAACTTCCTGGACTTCACCTTTTTGGCCGGAGGTCACCAAGACATCGCGATCGCATCACATCTACATTACATCTACATTACATCTACGTCGCTCTTCGGCCGGTCTATCCCTCTGCAATCGCTGGCAGGGCTGTGCGGGACGCATGAAGGCGCCCGCCCGCCCGTCCGCGGCTCGGCATCGCAACGAGCGGCGGAACGAAGCCACTTGAGGCCGGCTCCACCGCCGTGTCTCCTGGCCGGCGCTCAGGAATGGCTGGCGTCTCCATGCAGCGGCGGCGTTCTCAGCCCGCGCTCCTTCCCTGCTCCCAGCCGCCTTCCTTAAATAGGCAACGTGCTGCCCAGCCAGCCGGCACCGCCAGCTGGCCGGCTGGGGGGTTCCCACCTGTCCTGGATTTTCCAGGACGCCAATAGTTTTGGGGTAGCTGCTGACCTAAGAAATATTGCAGTCTTCCCGGAGGAACTGAAAGTCCCGGTTGTTGTCAGTTGCATAACAATAACAACAATGATATTACGCCACTCTGGACAACGCGATTATTCGCAGTTACGTGGCCTTCTGTACCGTAACATATTCTCAATCCCATGATACGTGTACATTTTGTTGGTACCGCAGAGGTGGTAACCCTCACCAGCTGGTCAGGCAGGCAGCCAATCAGGCAGCTTTGGGAATAAGGAGCGTCCTTAGAAATCTGCGGCAGCCCTAAGTCCCAAAGGCAAACGAGGGTACCGGATAAGCGCCGTTCGACATTGTCCGCGTGTCTGATTGCAGCTGTGTGGGTAACGCAGCTTAGGTGCGTCTGATATTTCAAGGGGTCTGTTGACAGTGCCTGAAACGTGGACTTGAAAATGTGAGAAGGCTTTTCCACCACTTAATAATGAGCGCAAACTTGAAGCAGGAGATGATACTCACAATGGAAGACGCACCAACAGTGTTCATTATTCATCTGGTTCAGGTGGCATTGCAGGTAGAGCACTTGGCTCATATTTGGAAGGTGAAACGTTCATATGCAGTCGGGGACAAAATCAGCCCATCATCCTTCTATCGTTCGTAAACCAAGTACCACTTTGTGGAAAGTCAACAGTGGTCGTCCTACAGATAACACCACCGACTCAGGGCCATGACCACTGTGACATTTGAGCCGAGAGAGCCTTTCAATTTTACTTTTGACTCTTTCCTGGGCTAAGCCTCTTGAATGACCAGTTTTGGTGAAGGTATTTTCAACAAAAGCCTCCAACTCCCTGTGTGGAATTCTGCTGTTTAACCTTGATTTGTGGCAATGGCCCCTGGAGGTCATGCGCCGAATGGAAAACTATAAAAATCAGAGTTTCACATTTGGTACACATTTGATCAAACTTAAATTAGGTCACCGGTATTGTTGAGTTTTTTTTTTAAAATGTCCTACCATAAAATTGTCAATTACCATGAAATAAGATGACATTTAATCCCAAGCGACTCTGACACAATAAACACGTGGAAAGCATGACACGCCTGGTGGATCATGCAGATATCATGTTGTGCTTGAGACCTGGAACCTTTTGGGCTGTGAGGTGGCAGTACAGCAAGCAGGTTTCTTGCAGCAGTTTCGCTTGTAAAATTACTCGGTATAGAATTACCAAAATATCCCATCATCCATCCACGATTGATAAATGAGTACCCCTTAGCGTATTTTGTGTGGGGCACGTGTGCAGGGTGGCGGTGGGGGGCACCGAGACAGGGACTGGGGTGGCACCCAGCGGGGAAGACCGCGGGGTAGACCTCGAGCCAGACGGTTGAATTTTATTGAGCAGACCTCGAAGGTCAAATATGAACTGTACGACAGTTGTAGGATTTGGAAATAGGAAATAAGTGACGGCAATGTGTGGTAGCATCGGTGGCACTGGCCGTGATGACTTCTTGATCTCAAGGAGAATATCGCGTCGGAAAAAAATGTTGCGCACTTCAGGGAACGGCAGTGACCAGTCTCCCAAATTCGGTCAGCACTCTCTCTTCCCTTTCCCTAAAACTAAGATAATGAATCAGTGTCAACATCAGCAGTGGGAAGATAAAGCAGCTGGGCATAAATTGCACTGAACACCACCTGTACTGCCCTTCATAGCTGCTCGCAAACAGCCCTTGCCTGACAATCGATGAAGCTGGAAGCACTGCGTGCGTGCGTGAGTGCGTGTGTACACGTGGGCTTATTTGTCCACGCATGCTATGCCATTACGGACGGCTCATGTAATTAGTTACGATTCGTTAAGTCAAGGTGGTGTGATGCAGAGCGTTTAATCAGAGTCAAGGAAATTCTGAAAAGTATGCGCTCGGAATTCCAGATGCTCTTGCCATATGTGCAGCGTGGAAAAGACCGGGGGTTGGAAAAGACTGAAGTCATCAAGTATGCAGACTGATTAAAACTTACATAATTTTTTCCACAACCCCAGGAATAATACCACTCATAATAATTATGAAATACATGCATCAAGCTGCATTTGTATAAAAGATTTGGACTCAATTTTACATTGCACTTAACTCCGCAATTATCTACATCTACACAAAGCGCCGGCGCTTCAAAGGCTACCACAGAACCGTGGTGGAGTCGGCACGACGCCTCTGCCATTGTACAGCAACAGCAGCAGGCATCGTCACGTGACAAGGGCACACGCTCACATTCACAACCTCTCAATATTTTGGAATTATTTTTTTCAATCCACCGTGTTTCTCTTTTGCGTGATTTAAACTCTGAAGCCTTAAACGACGGGGAATGTGCTTAGCATGCCCTAAAACAACACTGTATGTGATAATTGGTTCTTTACCCTTCTATCTGGCAACAAAACTGACACCTTTTTGCAAGGAGTCATGTTTGCATAGACCGCAATACCTGCAGTCATAAATACAAACAAAAGACATAACTCTGATGATGTGCACTGTCCTTGAAGTTGATTGGTCCACACCCGAGACAGCTTTCCTTCGAGCCTAGTCTCATATGGGTTGGACCAGATGACGCCAAAAGGCGCCTTTTGGCGTCATCTGGTCCAACCCATATGAGACTAGGCTCGAAGGAAAGCTGTCTCGGGTGTGGACCAATCAACTTCAAGGACAGTGCACATCATCAGAGTTATGTCTTTTGTTTGTATTTATGACTGCAGGTATTGCGGTCTATGCAAACATGACTCCTTGCAAAAAGGTGTCAGTTTTGTTGCCAGATAGAAGGGTAAAGAACCAATTATCATATTTTTACTGGCAAATGAGGTCCCCATAGTGTAAACACTGTATGTGTCGAGAGATGGTTTAAGAGACCTGTGTGCAGTGTGAAGCCACGTGGCCATAAAGGGGTTTGTTTGTGCCAAGGGATTTCGGGCTGTACACACGCGGAGTTTACTTACAGAGATCCCCCATTGGCCTCGGAGACCACGGGGGAAAGTGCTGCTAAGGAGCACCTATTAAGGCCAGAATTGGAAAAGAGCTGGGTGATGTGGGCTGCACCACAGCTGACTGCCCTTGTCTGCCAAGTGGCGATGTTTACACACCACACCAGATAGTATTAAATTGAGGCTGCTTCAACCTTACGCAAAAATAAATGTACGGTAAATATATTAATAAATTTGAGCTCGTATAGAGTACCGCCATTCACGCAAATGCATCTGACAGCGCTGCGTAATTTGCAATGCACGGAGGTGCATATGTTATAAAGATGTTTTTAGCCAATTAATTATGAGCGTTTATGTATGTGGGAGTAAACCGGAGCAGTTGGAGAATACATACGTGTGTGAGGGGGCAACGCTCTATCCCGTACAGACGGGACAGATGGAGCTTAGTCAGGGGGTGCACCGTTTCATCGCCCTGGCGATGCAATGCATTGCGGCAATTTAGATGGTTCCCTGTGCGTATCGCGAGCTTACGAATCAATACCACTTGATGCATCAATACATCGCTACACGCCCTGCACCTGTGCATAGCTGGTCAGGTGGCACCACGACCAGCTGGGAGTTCACTCGGCCTCTCATCCCTCATCGTTCAATAAAATTAGTACAACTTCGTTCAAAGACAACAGTGGTTTTGCTATGGATACTGGGCCACTTTACGGGAATGTGGAATTTCCACCCCTGGCCTAAATTCTCCGACAAAGACGAGCAAGGCCCGGAGGGAGTCGGCCGCCGTGCCGTCGCTCGCCTGAGCGGGGGCATCGCCTCCATCGGGGCTCTCAACGATTTGGCTGAACACGGCGATGGGGGGACCCTCCCCCCGGCAGAGAACCGCGGGAAACTGGTGAAGCGTCCTTCCAGCGAGCGAAGATCGCGAGCGAAGAGAATGCGTCGGGCTAAGCTGAGCTCACCCTGCCCGTCGCGCTGTGTGCACTTGAAGAGGGCGAAGCGCGGCTGCAGGGAGTTGCCGCTGCGGAAGCGAGCGACCAGGGCCTCGGACACCTCCAGAGCGCTCGTCCGGCTGCTCAAGTGAACCTGGGACGTGCCGGCAGCGCCGCGGGGAGGGGAGCGTGCAGAGTTCATTAACAAATAGAGATGGGGTATACGAAGACACTTCACGCACAGAGAGAGTCTGCACGACACAAACTCTCTCCTCTCGTCGTCGCCGACAGACCTCGACATTGGCATTTAGTTTCCTGAACGTACCGCCACTGCCATCGCACGCGACAGAAGAAGAGAAACGGAGAGGAGAGTCGGTCAGCCACAGGAGGAGAAAAGCGAGGTTATGTTAGGTGCTGGGATAAGGTCAGGGGTTGAGTTTCGTGCTAGGTGCTGATTAGCAACCATGGTAATCGAAAGTGGTAGGACTGGCTGTCAGGGCTATGGTAGACTGGGGCTCAATAGGTCAGTGCCAGTTTACCACTCCCCTGTCAGCGACCGTGGCCTTGTCGCTTGCCACCCTGTTCTCATTCAACCGTTGTGGTCGCCAGCGCCGTACCTGCTTAGTGCTCTCTCCACTACGTGCCGAGCGCCTCTTGAGCTTGCGGGCAGCACCGGTCGCACCGCCGCCACCACCATCGCCGCCGCTCTCCCGGCCAGCTCCAGCTTCCCTCTCAGAGCCGTCGACGCTGCGGAACTTGAGCTGCACCTCGATGAATCCCGTGAAGCTGCCGTCCGGTTGCTGGAGAGGGTGCGGCGGTCCGGAACAAAGGGAGCAAGGACACGCGGCAGGTGAGTGGAGCCGCGGTGGGCCGCCACCAGGGTCGCCGCCGCGCTCTGGCATTTGCCTCCCACGCGGGTGGCTGCCACTCCGAGTGGGGGTTTGCCTCTGCCCAAAGATGCCTTGCGGTGAAGGTCAGTGTGCTTGTCAAGGTCAAGAGGGCGGCTCTATCAAGAACGCATGACTCCTTACCGCTGTCGCTATTGCGACAGGGTTGGCCACGTACTGCACAAACGAAGTTCAACATACGTACATTGTGAACGAATGAGACCGTTGTTGTTGTCGTTGTATACACGGACGCGACACGTGTGTGCATGCGCGGGTCGGCGGCTCACGGAGCGTCTCACCAGCGTCATGTGCGCGTTGCGGGGTGCAGCGCGGTTGAATGATGAGATCTTCTCCTCTGCCTCGTCATGAGGCAGCTCCGCTTTCGTCGAGGGCGGCTCCACGTTCCCATTCTGTGACGTTCGCACGATAAACCGGTCAGCCGATCGACCCCTGTCCGTGTGGCACGCAGCACGTCAACAGGTCTAGTGCTCGGGGCTGTACATAAAATGTGCAAGAATGCACATCGCCTGTAACATGTACAAGACGTTTGTTTCCAATGGTAGAGATCAACTGCTGAAATCGAAGATGGCTTGCAAGCGTTGAAGAGTGGGCCGGATATCATGAGCGAGCAATTGCAGGGCTGTGACGGGTAGCAAGTGTGCTTGGTCAGGATTCGATGCTGAAGGGGATGATGAGCGGCCACCAAAGGCGAGAATGTGCACGACAGTACGTCCACCGTGGAGATGGAGAGGTGGAATCGGCGTGGTGTATGTTTGTGTACGTCTTGACGGAATTGTCACGTAGCGGGACTTTGGTTGATGGAAATGGATTTTTGGGCAAGCATTCACCCAGCAGTGGATTGATCACGGGTGACGACGCTAATTATGACCACAACACGACGCGCCGCCTGCTTCACAGCAGATCTTAGAGATCCCTGAGTAGGCCGTCTGTGTGCCAGCTTCAGGGCTACATTTAGGAAATTTGAAAACGCCAGTACCCGCAAATTAATCAATTGGGACTGTACTTGGCAAGCATCGCTCTCTACTGACAGAGGAAAGTCCCGGGTCACTCATGAAAATGACTCATCCTTAAACTTGATGATATTGTTTGGTTATTTCGGTAAAGACACGTAGACAGAAAATAAAAACAAAAAACCCACTTCGTTTCGATTGCAACACAAGGCGGTCGTCATCAGGAAAAGGAGAGGGGGGTTAGCCTCCAAAGGCAAACTGTTGATAAAGGTTCAGAGATGGGCGTAGTCCAAGTGTGTCAGCAGCATGGGCGGGGCAGCTAATGTTAATGTAGAAGACAAGGTCGGGGGGGGAGAGAGACGGGGGGTAGAGATAGGGGGAAAGAGAGGGGGGGTAGAGATGGGGGGCATTGCACCTCGTTCCACACACCCACACTGCTGACGGTGGAGGTTGACAAGAAAACAAAAATCAAGTCATGACCCAAAGTGGTTGATGACATCTTTCCAATGATTCCTCAGTTTATAACCATCCTCTCGGTTGTAATTGTGTCTGTGTCTCTATATATGGATGGCTTCATGAACGAATCTTTGTTGATAGTCAGTAGGCTTGCAAAGTACCATCGTCTTAGAGAAATCAATTTCGCGTGAGCACTCTCACTACGTCATACACTTACAATCACTCACCCAAGAACATTCAATGTCATGCATTCCCGTGATTTTACTGGGCATACAATTCACATTCGTATTCAATGGCATCATTTACTCTCGGATTCATGCACAGAACAAGTTTGTGTGCACACACTAAATGTGTCATTCAACATTCATCCCCATTCATCTCCACACCTCTTGCATCGCTCGTAAACAGCACGACCCTATTCCCAATTCATTCATTTACGTACACGTCGATTCACACAAGCAAGCAATTAGTTGCACGTTCACGCCGCGTGGATTACCGACCACGTCGCTACCATTCACACATCGGCATCGACAGGCTCCGTTCTGCGGGGGCATTTCGTCGCCGAGGAAGGAGAGACGGCTCAACTCGTTGGCGTGTTCGTTAACGAGCCATTAGGCTCACAGTTCAAGTCCCACAGTCGCCCGGTAATTTCCATGGGAGTGTAATTAGCAAGTGCTGTTGTCTGTGCTCGATCGGATATTAGAGACCCACTGGCTGGTTGCTGTGCGAGAGTGAGCCACTGCGTAGCGCCACGTGACGTCTTAACATCACGTTTTGTCTCCAGGTTAAATTGAGCCATGCGTGGCGCTCATTTGTGATGCGATTGACATGGAGTATTTGGACCGCGATGCCAGCTCACAACCTTTAGATTGTACAAAGAGAGCTTTAACCACATCACAGCTGGCCAGACGTTTGAATAAATCCCCAAGATTAGATTACTTACAGATAATTTACTGACAAAACTACCTGTTCCCGAGTTAATCCAGTTTACTCCAGTCTCCCGCAGAAGGAAATAATGATTCTCAACGTACTTTGCGTCAGCTAAATAAAGTACTGTGAACCGAGTTGTCCTCAATACCAACATAGCCTTTTTTGACAGTTGAGAAATAAATAAAGTAATCCTGGGTGGTGCATAATGAATGAATGATATTCATAATTTACAAGTTATTTTAAATAAAATTGCATATCCTCCCTCCTCAGCTACTTTCAGTAAATGTTTAATTCGCAAATTAATTTCATTCAAATAAAAAATAAGATATTTTACATTGTATAGAAATAAATAAGGCAAAGGTTTGCCAACCTTTTCTTTCCTTAGAGCATTACTGGAGCACTACTGGAGCATTGCTGGAGCATTACTGGAGCATTGCTGGAGCATTACTGGAGCATTGCTGGAGCACTACTGGAGCATTACTGGAGCATTGCTGGAGCACTGCTGGAGCTGCGCTAAACGGTCAGGAGAAGGCAAAGGTGCAGCATTGCAACCGCTCACTTGTGGCACTGCTCGTGGAAGAGACCTCCACCGGAGCGCGGGGGAGCCATTCTGAAGGGTATTTGGCCTCCTCTTCCACGCTTGCCAGACGTCTGTCTGTCACACTCTTCCTTCCGATATGAGGAATCCACTGGAGCTATGCACTTTAAAATCTAGATTGAAAACTCATTTTTGTTTAAACTGCTTTTTGTGTTTAGTTTATTGTCTTTCCCCCACACCTCCGAATAACCCGGTTGGCTACGTACGGTGCGATAAAAGTTCAACATAGTACGTCTGTGAAATGGTAGAGGTAACTGACACTTTACCCCACCGCACGCATCTCACCAAAGGCGTGACGGCGGTGAACCCGTTTACACCGCTGGGTGGACCGAGGCGGCGCGGTAGGGGACAGAGGGGGGGGGGGGGGTCCCAGGCGTCTGCGCCGCCGCGCCAGGAGAACGAACCGCGAACCGGCGACCTCCCGATTGCAGGTCCCGTGAGCCGAGCGTGAACAGCGCTGGGGAAGCGCGCTCGTTGTTGACTTCGTGTACAAATAAAAACAAAATAGGATCACATCTGCTACTGAATGGAGGAATTGCCCTATCCACTGGCACAAGGGCTGATCGAGTGATTGTTTAATTAAATGGTCTGCCTGGCTGCCTTTATGACGAGTTTGACCCGAGTGGATTTGAGATGCCCGCTGCTCAGCCTGAAAGCTGCTTTGCTCCTTAGAAGGCTCCAATAACGACACCGTAAACCCAAAGCCACAAGAGGCGCATGGATTCCTTTCTCAAATGGCCCAAGTAATAATTCTTAAATTATTCACTTCCACCCGAAAAGGTAACTTTATTGTGATTGTTCATTAATTCCGTGGCAGTCTTTACAGCAGGCGTGCACAACACGTCTGAGATGAGAGACGATGTGATGAACGGACACCATTCAGGGTCACAATTTCGTTTAAGAATCCACTTTTGTTGTCGTTTGAACCTAGCTCACATCGTTTCTGTTCTGGGGGAGCAGAGGTGCAGTGGTTAGCGCATTGCTCTGTGAACACGGCAGCCCGAGTTTGCTTCCCGATCATGGCTAACAACAACCGCGAGTGGAATCTGAACCAGTCCTGTGCCCCCAACCCTTCACTAACCCAAACTGACCAGTGTGGTGAAGTATGGTCAAATAATCTCCGATGACCAGAGGCTATCATTTCAGTAATGGGTTTACAAAGGTGTTGCATTGTTTCATCTTCTTGGTTCTTTTGTTTGTTCTTACTTTTAGTAAACCGTGATATAATTTGCATATACTGTACTCTGCATCACTCAATCATCACTCATAGTTAGGCAAGGAGCGTCACGCTAACCGTGTGACCTCTTGCGACAGCGTTCACACGAACCACTCTCGCTGCCATCCACCAGCGTCCCCGGTGATCCGCTTCATCCACGACAACCACGATGCCACCACGGGAGCGGCACCACTTCAAGTGTCAACGGCAACTCGATAGACTGCGTGTAGATTAATTCACCTTTACCTGTGTGTGTAAGTTAATTCGCCGATTAAGAGGACTGTATATCTCTCCAAATGCTGGGTCACTGCCGCGATGCCGACGGGGAGAAGGGGTCCTGGAGGGCTCCTTTGAGCCGGCAGGCAACAGACGTGGCAGGCGACGGGCAGGCTGTCGCGCCGCGATGAGATGGCTTACGTTCAGGTCGATCGGAAACGACAAAGACCGGCCGCCTACAATTCTGATCTCAGTGGTGCTGGGCTCAGTGCTTCGATGTGGGCATCGCGCTCTTCCTCGTGAGTCCCCTCTTTATCCATAACCAAGCAGCACGGTGTCTCGGGACACTCTCTGGACCTTCAGCAGGCGTACGGAGCCACCCCTCGGTGAGGGTTACGAGGACGCTGCCGCTGCCGTGGCAGCCCCGGAGCCAATTCCCCCGTCCGGGCCCGGACACGTCCGGCACTTTGTAGCCACCCGCACCGTGGCCTGCCGCCACCGCTGCTCTCGCCGTGGTTTGGTCTCGGAGAGCGCTTCCTTCCTCACGGCAGCACCACAGCAGCACCACGGCAGCACCACGGCAGCACCACGGCAGCACCACGGCAGCACCACGGCAGCACCACGGCAGCGCCACGGCAGCACCACGGCAGCACCACGGCAGCACCACGGCAGCGCGGCCCGGCGGTGCCGCCGTCACCGTGGTTGGATCGCAATCGCAAAGGTTGCAAACTCAAGTGATGGTTTGGGGTCGGTTCTGCCCATCATACCTACAGCTACGATAACATAGACCGCTCTGGAGGAAGTCAACTAGGACTTTGAGAATGGATAGACTGCTCCTGGCCAAGTGAACAGCATACCGCACCATGAAGCAAGTGAACAGGGTTCACCTTGTGACCATAGCTTCCACATCAGTGGCAGTGATAACTGAACTGGACCTGGGCTCTGTGCCGCCAGCCCGCACTGACCAGCATAGTGAAGTATGGTCAATCCCCTCCCCCACCCCACTGCACAACTCACACAGCA